GTGACGGGAGGTGACGGGAGGTGACGGGAGGTGACGGGAGGTGACGGGAGGTGACGGGAGGTGACGGGAGGTGACGGGACGCGGACCCTGGTCCACCTCCTGCCGCACTGGATCGACTTCCACTAGGACCTGCATTACGGACATGTCAGTAATTTGGAGGTTAGGCCGTGGAGCTTTCAGGGTCTCCAAAGGGCAGCAAGCCAATGAGATCAAAACATCCTGAGTGACTTATCAATTATTACAATCGTTAGGGCCCGTCGTTTGTAGTGCACGTATTTGATTTAATTTTTGCCTAAATTCGCTCATTACTGCGGGAGGCCGCTCACATATAAACTTTCTTGGTCATCTTGGTTTGATATTGGATACTGATGATTGGCAAACTTTTTTTACATCAGACGGTTAGCCGCCTCTTTGGGCCCTGAGAGCTCAATATTTTGACACGTCCGTACTCTCTCGCCACGCTTTGCATCAAATTCCGCAAGCTCTTTTTCAAAGAAGCGTAACTCCGGTGCCGCGTCCAATTTAAATTCACGAGTGGGGAGGAGAACTAGTTCATTAAATAGTTCCGTCAAATGGGCTTTAGGATTGGGCTAGGACGGGAGGGTCGGGGAGGGGTATTATTCCCGCCCTTGACTTTTTGCCGGGGACGACCGCGGACGACAAATGAGGAAAGCGCACTCCACAACAGGTATAAAGGCAGAGGAACAAAGCACATTTTCACAATTTTTGAAATCACAAAAAAGAAGAGAGTGTAAGTAGTTGGACTCCTACACGAAGACTGGTGAAGATTGCATTTTTGACCGCAGCTTGAAACAAGGCCGTATTTTTTGGGGCGTGCATCAAAGATGGAAAGATCCAACCGGCAGACTTACAGAAAAATATGATTCTGGTACGGTAAACGGGGGAACAAACATTTTTGTTGTAACATTTGACAGCGGTGGGTTTCGTTGCATACCAGTGCATCGGAGCGGAGGGACAGAGCGGTTCACTCGAGGGTGAGACACGCCTACTCATGTGGTGGAGCATCTCCAGTTAATAACCGTTTTCGGGCGCCAGCGAGATCCCGAAAACGGGCCCACGACTCCGCGGCGCGGCGCGGGCCTCTTGGACTCTTCGAACGGAATGAAAGTAATGAGAACGGAAATGATGCCAGTATGTTTGTTTCGATCGAATACTTTTCTGCCGTGCTAAGGAAAAACGCCGTATAAACCTTCAGGCGCTGCCAAATTTCCGTCGGTAAATCACGAATTTTCGGGAAAATTTGTAAAGATTTTTCCTCCAATTTTTCAGATGATTTTGTTCGCGATTTTACCGAAAGTTCTTGAAAATTTCTCGGAAAAATATTCATAACTTCCCTTCAAAATTAACTTTTTATCGAAGGAAATTTGGCAACTCGCGAATGTCCATACGGCGTTCTTCCTTAGCACGGCAGTTTTCTCATTGTGCTCAATTTTCTTAACAAGTTTAAGGTGATTCGATGGACGCCATATTTTGTGTCAGAACGGCATGCGATCTGTCGCATCAATCGGTTCCATTTTTCCAGCTACTCGTCATTTTTCTCCAATTTTGAGATCGCAATTCTGTTGTCAGGAAACTAAAGCACTCACTTACCAATTTTAACAAACAAATTCAACGTAATAAAGGCGTGGTTTTTTCAGAGAGTAAACATCGCGTTCGATACTGATATCGAAACTGCACTCGAATGCGATATATTTTCTCTCTAAAAAAACCACGCCTTTATTACGTTGAATTTTTTTGTTAAAATTGGTGAGTGCTTTAGTTTCCTGACAAGAGAATTGCGATCTCATAATTGGAGAAAAATGACAAGTAGCTGAAAAAATGGAACCAATTGATGCGATATTTTGTATGCCGTTCTGACACAAAATATGGCGTCCATCGAATCACCTTAAAATGGATATGTTTAAAAAAAAAGAAAAAGAAAAAAATTAAGAATATTTTGTTTCTTCGTGAAATTTCTCTGAACGCGCTGTTTTAAGGAACAGGATTGAATGTCGATGTATTATACAAACCTGGTTTTTAACGGGAGTGACTTTGCCCTTATCAACCCAACTGAAATTTTTCGGCTGTTTTTTCTTGTGCAGTTCCGGTCCATCATACACTCTCGTTGCAGATTTCCTATACGCATCTACGTTGAGTGTCAACATCTTTTGTCTGAATTCATCCGCTGTAATAAAAAATTAATTGCATAATTCAAACAGAGACACTTAACAGTATCAATCGTGTCAAAGATAGTTCATAACGACTGCATTTTGAGGTCTGACCTGAATAAATTAAGAGTAAAAGCGCGTCATCTATCAAGTGGTGTCATAGTTGTTAACTAGCTCGTACATTGGCACTGTTCCGTATGTACGCATTGATGTCAGATTTACGGCACATTAAGCTCAACTCATTTTAAATGTAATCTTGCTGAGAGCTCGATTAATCAATACACAAGAGTTGAGCTATGCAGTAAATAATATTGGTGATTTTAATCATACTTTGATGTACGTGTGTATTTTTTACCCTTGCTGGTCAACGCAAGACGACAATTTGCATTTACCAAACTTCAGGCTACAGTATTAGCGGCTCTGGTGCTTGCACTAGAGCTGCTATTCCGGACGGTCCCAGCTGGGGAGTATCATTGGACCATGTTACATTGGAGAGACCGCGCGTTGGTTAATGGGAATCGGCGCCATTTTCGGCTATGTTCCTTGTCATGACTTTATTTTATTGCATATTGTTTTATTGTTAGCCAATGCTATGTTGTGTAGTGTATTTTTGGAATCATGGTGATACAGTCAATAATTCAAAACTTGTCTGTGCTTTAATCTCGTGATGGAAAAAATGTACTTTACGTTCAAAATTTGAAAATTTGAATTTTAAAGTTTTCGCGGTTAAGGAAGCTCCAACCACTGGGTTGGAGCTTCCTAGTCATATTACTCGATATCAGCTGATAGCAAACAAAGGTTACCAAGGAAACCGTAAACGTCTAATGCCGTCTGCCCACGTAGCAAATGGGAGGCGAAAATGGAAGTCATCAGTGCATCGTTGAGTGTTGACGCCCGATCCCATTTTCAGACATGTTCACACGTTTTGCTTGCAAAGAAAAAAGGCGGCAAATCAATTTTTATTATTGGACCAATGAGTGTTCTCCAATTTGAGTTTGTAAACATCGTGGTTTCTAGGTTAGGTTTTTGGCTGTGTGATAAATGATATTATGCCGTCTTTGATTTTGTTAAAATGACTCGATATATGTTATTTGATAAACGATTGGAGTTTTGATAAAGTAAGTTGATTTGAATTAAAAATTGTGTCCTTAAAAAATGGATGATGAGGTGATTTGGTTAACATGGGCATTTGTGGTACTTGCGGCGTATTGGGAGTTTGTATGGAAACGACGTGGCAGTAGTCCACACTTTTTACAAGAAACTATTTTGTACAAAGTTCTGTACAAATTTTACACTATTTATACAGTAATATAATACAAAAAAATTATGTACTTTATCACAACTCACATAGCTTCAAAACAAGATAGAAAATGATGGATGCTCAGCCCTGACACATCGATGATCGCGAAAAATGCGAAACATTTAGTCGTGACGCCATGACAGCATAGCCTTCTACAACCAAGCAATTTTCAGTTCAAAATAATGGTAACCTGCCTCTCTCGCTTTCACAATCCTAGTAGGTTATCCTATATTACATTCAAAAGTCATAAAGTAAGCCTTTTTCCTCAATTTTTTTTTTTTTTTTTTTTTTTTTTTTTTTTTTTTTAGCAGATATGAACTTTTCCAACAATTTTACGTAGGTATCAAGTAATATATCCTACATACATTAAATTTTAATGCTTCAAATCTGATTCTAAAAAAAGATAGCTACATCTAGGGATGAAGTGAGAGCAAAAGCTGTCTATGGCCGTCAAAAAGAGCCCAAGATCTCTCCGACATCACCCGTATTGCCATCGATAGAGGCGTCAGCTGCAAACCTTAAAGTTAATGACTAAAAGAGGCAGTTCGCATTAGTTTTGGTTTGATTTCAACAGTTAGTCGGACATCCATACAAATCCACTGAGAGTATAATAATAATCCAACGCCATTAAAGTTACTCTCGCCGCGGTTTGAATCAGTTGCAGAGTGGAGGGTCTCTGGGTTGACAGAGAGTTGTGCATGAGTTAACACGGTAATACACATGAAAAGTTGAGTAAGGGCCGAGGATGTAAGTAACCTTTGCAAAATTTATTATTACCGAGAGATTGTTTTTTTTACATTCATTTAAGTCGAGTTTATCAGTAGTTCATAAAGAAAAATTTCTGGCGGCGTAAAATTGCGATCTCTTAGGGCGCGTGGATCGAGTCAGTAGGAGAGATCGTGCATAACTTGGAAACTTTAAACGCCTTTAACTCCGTTTATACAAAACTTTGAGGTTCTGAGAGTGGTTCCATTGGTTCACTCGTGAAATTTTCTGGTAGGCTCATCCCTCAAAATTTGAAATTTGACGAAATAAACATAAAAATGTTCAGTTTTAGTCAAAAATTTCATGTCCGACCTCCCTGATTAACTCTATCCACTGTGCGGCGACTTTTGCGTCATTACTCACCTCTAATCCGAGCTCAACAACTTCGGTCCCCTTAATATGAGTAAATATACGAGTAAATAAGCTCGATTGTTTCATTCAGAAGGGATTTACCTGTCATGTCGGAGAATTGATCGACGCCGTAAGTGGCTGTTCCCATATCAGCCGCGTTCATTTCTTCATATCTCTTCAGGTTCTTGGCGAAAATTTCCATTCGGCTTTCTTTTTCCTGCGAGCTTAAATACACTTTATTATACTTTTTCACGAATTCCTCAAACTGATCACGGATTGAGAGGCTGCTTAAGTCTTCGTCCTGCTCCAAGACTGGCTTTTCCTGAAATAACATGTTTTATGTTATCTTTTTTTCTTTTTTGATAATAAATTAGAATGTGTCGTAAAAACTGAAAGTAACTCATCCAAAAAAAAATGTCAAAAAAAGAATCTGTAATCAAAGCTTTTAAGTGGGTAGAAAGAAAGGAACCCAGGATCCTCAAGAGATCAAACAGCCCCCGAATTTCAGGAAAAACAGTGGAGTGGCGTGCTCAACGATGTATCGATTGATCTGCCATTTAAACCTTTGGAAAAGGATCGATAAACAGAATTTTCGCAACAAACACCTTAATAATCCCTCCTCAGGTCCTTTAGATTCTTCATCATAGCTTCAAATAAGGAAATATCAATAGCCGATCATCCACGCTTTACCGCGGAAATACGACCTTTAAGTGGAGGAGGACTTTCAGCACGGAGGTCAAAATTCTCTTCGGCTCCTTCTGTGATTGCCGAACAGAAATCGTCTCCAAATATGGACAGACTAGTGCGATCACTAGTGAGAGCTTCCCATTCAAATCGGAGTTCCTCCATCGAATAGTCGATTAATTTCTCCGATTAGGTCAATCTAAACTCATTTTTGAGAGACACATTGTCATTTTAGTAGTATCATCCCGTATAACGCAACACGATTCCTAATACATTGGGCTGATTTTCTCACGATCGATTGTCGGAAGAAATATTTTAACGGTGTGAATCCGCGTTAATATATTTACAAAGGAGATTCGGTGCATTTGAATGCTACTCCTTGATTAATTCACTGGAAAAAAAAAACGCATAGGATCTAGAGTCCAGACTCTTAAAAACATCGACGAGAAAAAGTACTCTTGATTCAATCAGAATCTAGAGTAAATCAAGAACCAAGCCTCTTAATTTAAGCGGATTTCGTTTTAATTCAAGCAAAAATCCAATTGAATCAAGAGTATTTTTTCTTGTCAATGTTTTCAAGAGTCTGGACTCTAGATCCAATGTGTTATTTTTCCCAGTGTTTTGCATGTTTTTCCATTAATTTATGTTTTTAACAGTCCGTCAATCTTTGTTTGAGATCTGAAGAAATCTTAATGATATTTTAAATTATGTAAAAGTAAAAAAATATTCTTGCAATTACTCATACGTGAGAAACTATAGTAAACTCAAACAAAATACTGTCATTGCTCGGATTGTTGGCTCCTCGAGAGGGACTCTAAAATGCATGCAGTAGATTTACTTTAACACCTCAATACTTTGAGTGACACGCATCAGATATTTGTAAAAACAAAACATTTTTGAGAGCCTCCTCTCAACCGGCCTTTGAGTTTGCAAGAGTACCTCAATCAAATGTAAAGAAATGTGTACAAAATTTGTACAGCTTCACAACTGCCTCGTTAAAATGAAAAAAATAATCGATAAATAAATCGGTGATAAACTGACAAAGACATTATCTTTCAACTGAGCATACATTCAAGTAAAGCAACCATTTCTTCATGAGAACTCCGAAAAAATAAATCAAAGTAAGCAACAAGCTAAAACATACCAATCCCGTTTCAATTTCATCAAAATCAACCCCAAAGTCCATTGGATTTCCATTGCACCGGTTGATAGGAACAAAGAGTGCAAGAAGCCCCACAAATAAAAAACACGACGCACTATTCATTTTCGCGACCAAGGAATGGGGAACAGTGTGCCCTTCTCTCTGACTGCTACTGCACTTATAAATAAAACGAGTGTAATCACACGCAGAAGATAAATAGAGTACTTCAGTATGGAATAGCTTCCAAAAATATGTGATTGTGGAAACTAATATATGATACAATTTTTGAATTATAGACCCAAAACAAACAAGTATCGATGTGTAAATGATAACAATTTAGACCCCCTTTTTATCAAGGTACCAGTTGATCAAAAATTTTCATGAAATGCCTTTTTTCTTAATTTTGCCTCGTGTTGGAAATTTCTATATTTGTCACGCCACTTTTTCTGGAAAGACTGTTTGCAAGGAAATGCGTCATATCAAAAGACTTAGAGGAGTTGAAGTACCTAAATAAAAACACTCACGGCAATATAAAAGAAAACACAGCGTGATACTCGATATTTGTGTATCAAATCAAAGATCGTTAAATTTTTTGAGCAGCCTGGTAACATCGCTATACTTTTAATCATTTTTAAAATAATCAGGAAAATCCATGTATCGTGATAATTTACAAAATGGTAGGTACGATTTGGAGTAATCGTAGAGCTTGAAATTTATGTCCTGGAAGTATTTGCTTTCTCACTTCCTCCCTGTTTTTAGTCTGAAATGTGATGAGCGAAGACTGTGTGTATTGATTTGGTATAGCCCGTGTCTTACGATCAAATGAACCCGTCAAATCTCATCAAATTCAAGATGGCGAGTGGTTTTCGCGCAAGTCCACTATCAAAAATTAGCGGGCCGTCAAATGTTGATGAACCCGCCATCTTGCATTTGATGAGTTCACTTGATCGTGGGACAAAGGCTTATGTGATAATATAAAAGGCGAGATTCGTGAGTTTTAATTATTGCAGTTTTGACAAAAGCGAAAAATTTGAGGTTAAAGTTTAGAAGCCTGGTGTGAACACTCCAGTCTTAGGTAGAAATTTTAAAACCACTCAAACAATTGTCTAATATCTTTGATGACTCCTCTCTCTTTCTCTCTCTGCTTTATTTGATTTGACCACGCTTATTGCCTGGTTTGGCCTTAGGTCGCAAACAAACAAAACATTTTTTATACAACAAGTTTATGAAATTACATCCTACATGATTACATTTACATGATCTACATTCTTTTCCTTTTTTTGATAGAAATCTATGGGTACATCTGCTAAATTTTTCGTGGCGTAAATTCATAGTTTAAGATGAAAATGTCAAAATTTCAAGACACGAACAAATGTAAAAAGTCAAAGAATTAAATGCTTTTAATGAAATTTAATCGGATGAAATACAACAATGATTTTTTTCTTGCACTCGAATCCATCCTGTCACATGATCTTCACAGAGAACATACGCATAAGTGTTTCTAAAAAGTTTTTCCCCTAATTTTTAGTATCATTAATTGGACTTCCTTATGCTAAAAGGAACTATGTGCATAAGGCTAGCATACAACATAGTTCCTTTTAGCATAAATACGTCCAATTGATGGTGACAAACGTGTATAATTTCATCAAGAAGTCTTGTAGTTTGGGTTATTTGTGAGAGCAAAGATGGTAAAAAATCATACTGTTTTTCCAGTCAGGAATCTGTATTTTGATCTAAACGTTAGGTTTCAAAATTTACAACTGCGTGCAGCCTCTTTCGTTACACATGGAAGGCTGTATTAAGACGAGTAAAAACTCAAAGTTTCAGAGCTGCATTGCCTCCGCATCATGGCTTGTCGTCTAAATCAATAAATGACAGCTGTGCTTGGGTATAAACTTATTCCGCAAGAGCCATCTCCACGATATATGTAGTAGTAGCCCTGAAAAAAAAACAAAAGGAAATAAGATGCAAAAACCATTCGTTATGTCTCCAATGATCAGGTTACATTTGCGCTTTGGAGTAGATTTTTTGCGCACACGCGTGCTCTAAAATTGAAGCCAAGTTTGAATTTCAGTATAACCCACCGACAGAATTACACGCCGTTTTATGGTTTCGTCAAATCATGCTGCGAGAGAGGTACTACTAGGTATATTTTCGAATAGGTTGCTTTTTTTTCTCTCCTCTTTTTCCTCGCATTTTTCCCAAAGAGGAAACAAGAGCCACAATATAAATTGCGAGCTGAGTGGCAACCCCTTATTTTACGACTCGTACTTGATTGGCCAATCCGCCTGGTGCCCGCACTTGCAGAGGCTCTTTTGGAAAGTAACACAAAGTTCATTTTTCATCGAAAAGTACTCGCGAACAAGGAATTTAAACGTCGGACATTTCAAAAATGAATTGTCCAGCTTTTTTCAAGAGATTGATAGGTGATACATGACATTTTTTTCTCGACGACACTGAGCAGCTCGACCTGGGTTTTCTTCAAGTTGAAATATGACACTAAGTGTCGTGTATCACACATCAATCTCTTTAGGAAAATCTGGAATATTGATTTTTCATATATCTTCAACAAATACATTTTTCGACTTAACAAAAGAAAAAAAAACAAACAAAAATCAATTTTTTCGAGATATTTTCGATGAAAAATGAGCCCCATGTTATTTTCCGCAAGGTCTGCAGCAAGTGGGCACCAGGTGGCTCGGCCAATCAGATACGACTCGTAAAAGTAGGGATGCCACTCGGCCTGCAATTTTTATTGCAACTCTTGTTTCCTCGTTGAGTTCTTCTCCCTTCCATTTTACCACCCTTGTTGCGGTGGCACCCGGTGCAGGTGCCCCTCATGGGCCACCCTCAATCGGGCTGTGGCCACTTATGTAGATAAACAAACTTATTTTATTTGGATGACAATTTTAGGCTTTCACCAGCACTCTCTGGTGCTCATTTGATCAGATCAGTAAAGATCAGCAAAAAACTGGAGTGCTTTAAATCCTTTCATCGATGTTGTCATGAAGTTCAATGATTTGTGGAAATGCTTACTTTAGCGCCCCATCTAGGTCCCCAGCTGTTCTTTGCAATCCAGTAGGGCAACCGCGTCTTCTTCTTATTTCCCGTGTCAACCACTGAACGAACAAACGAAACAATGATTAATTTTCCCTCCATCCAAGAACGACGTAGAATCAAAATATTGATCTTGTTATTCAAAGTTAGCGTATTTAAAATGTATATGTGCTAGGTTCACTTATCCTATTCATTTTCAGGTTGGCTATTCAGGAGAACGAGTTGTATTGCTCCTCAAAAACAAATTGACCTTATCGTTCAGTTTCATCGAAAGCTCCTTTAAAAAAATAATTTTTAAGTAATCTTCCAGTCAAGTATATTCAAGTGAAGAAAATCTTCCCGAGTGTCTTTGCATTATGAATTCACTGGTTAAAACAATAGCGTTAGAACCATACGAAAGGAGCAAATTATGCCATCTGCAATTTTTAGATACAAATCAAATCAAATTTTTTTTAAAAGTTTCGGTTTTTTTTATGAAAATTGTAATGATTTGTCTTGTGATTGTTGTGAAAATCGTATTTTTATCACGATTTTTAAATCGGAGACACTGTTTTGTCATGGGCCACTTATTATTCCTTTCTTCTTTCCTCTTTTTTACTATTATTTCATTGCCGTGTGGCTACTCACCTTGGACGCCATATCCAACCAGTGTGACTCCATGATTGAGCGTATCTTCGTCCTTGCCACACATTGTTTCCGGGGGGTGCGCAATGCCATCTAGATAAGCCTGGTAAAAACGAAAGAACACTTTGTAGAAGTGTGTCTCAATATTGATATAAAATATCATTAGATTCATTCACAAAATTTCGAACGGATTTTAACCCTAAAAAAAATAATATAAATTAATTAATTTGCAATATTTACATTGTACACAGATAAAAATTTCCGTGTTTGCCGTCTGCTCAACACAGTTTTGTACCAAATCAACCCAAACCGTAGGCTACTCTGAGCAGGGGCGGATCCAGCAATGTGGCAACAACAGATTCCCTCCATTTAAACCTACGTTAAAAATCGATTCTTGTCGGGGCACCTGGCCCCTCCAAGAATCGATACATTGCCATAGGTTTAAATGGAGGAGACAGTGTTGCCAATTTGCTGGATCCGCCAATGATTCTGAGACTTTTGGTCATGAAGAAAGTGTCCTGCCGAACTTATGTACTCTAGTTTCCTCCCCTCGTTAAGAAGCTGCGGCTTGCGAGTGGCTAGCGCATTTGATTTTGACCGATGCCCACCTGCGGGCCGATTATTGAAATTGATGGACAAAGATGACAAAAGACATATGGAGGGATCCTATTGGTGGAAGCGGGTGGTTGCAATGGACAAAGGAGGTAGGTAATAGACTAAGTAACGTCAACCCACGAGGGACCCGATAGTTAGTCCATCATTTCCTCCCTCAGTCTATAGGAACCACACATTTCAACCAGTAGGATAGCTCAATAGTCCCTATGTCTTTTTTGTCTATCGCCTTGTCTATTAATTTCCATAATCGGCCCACAGGCTCGATCCTGCTGCCGACTAATTTTAACGAGGTCGCAGTTTTCAACACAAAATTTGGTCATCCAAACCCGGAGATTTAGTCGATTTGACACAGAGAAAACTGACAAACAAAAAATCAACCGACAGCTTGTGTTACTTCGTGTTTTTCTCTCATACACAAGATTTCGGTTACTTTATCTTACCGTGCACATACCTCCTTTTGCATCCATTCTAATTTTTTTCACTCACATACGCTCTTGCAAAAAAGTTGCATCAGACCCCTTGTTCATCTGTACAAGTCCCTGAAAAAATGATAGGCATGACGCTTACCCTCATGGCTCTTGCATCAAGAGCGACCGATATGGGCCCATGCTTGAAAACGGCCTGGGCCATTTTCTTCTCATTTTTCGCGGGAAGCTCAATATTTTCTTTAACCTTGACGACGGCAAGGGATGCGTCGGCAGAGCAATTTCCTTGTCTGGCTTTGTAAGGGTAAGTAGGAGTTGAGCTGGAGTCCGCCTGCCTGCTTCACATACTCGATTGCATACGACATCCATCCACCGTTACAACCCTTTGACAGAGGGTCGCAGTCCACCAACTCTGAAACACGTCCACCAATTGCATGCCAAAACAGGTGTAAAAGCTTATACGAACAGATTGCGATTCGACAAACTAGTCGTCATTGTTCCATCGCTAAAACATGCATCACCTCACCACACTGGAAAAAAAACACATTGGATCTAAAGTCCAGACTCTTAAGAACATCGACAAGAAAAAGTACTCCTGATTCCATCAGAATCTAGCAAGAAGCAAGCCTCTAGATCCAATGTGTTTTTTCTTCCAGTGCAGGTCACCGTCTAATTTAATTAATTAAATTAATTAATAATATCATCTCAGTGGCTGTTCACCACTTGTATCTAAATGCGAAAACTCTCCATTTTAGAAATGTCTGCAAATACTTAGTTTCGGGCTTTTCCCTAGCACATCTAACATGTTTAGGCTGATATGTTTTGCATCCATCGATGTACTCGCAACTGGGTTTAGTTTCAAAATTAGAGCTAAAAGCGAGAGCTTTAATATTTCCAGCTTATTCAGTCGACGTTAATACGTAATTTTCTCTAATTCAAATATTTTTTATCGATTAAGTAAACTTACGTTGCTCCGAGAAAGTCTCCAACTTTTTGTGTTTTATGTAATACAGACCCTCTAAATTGGCAACGGCCGAAAACGCCCAGCATGAACCGCAGTACCTCTGGAAATGAAAACGTAAGGAATCATTCGTGTACATGCGCTTAAGTTAGTCAAAGTAGGAGATCAAACTTTCCCATCCCTCTACATGCAAACGATCGAGTAAGCTAAACATGCGTTGTATAGAACTGATTAAATACGTTGACAGGAAAACATTCTTATCATGAACGGCTGAGAAATTGGGCAGGCATGCGATACATGCTAAACTTAGGCTATTTTTTAATGATAAATCCATCTAAGAGTCTGATGTGTACCTGTCATGCGAGAGAAAATCTTCCCCGGAAAAAAGCGTTTTCTAAAAATATCTAATTTTTCAAATTTTCAAATTTTTTAAAATTTTAGTTGATGGAGCAAAACCAAGATCATTTCCGGACTCAGCTTTAAAAAACCATGTAGAATCATCAATGAAATGCCCAGCTCACTTATCGATGCAAACGTGTGTTATCCATTTCACAAACCTGCTCTTTAATAGGTGTTACCGCCCCTTTTTCTCTCCAATCGAGATTCTTGGGAATTTTCAAACCATCCAGCCCCAGCTCATCACTGGATCGACTTTCTGTCTTCGGTAATTCATCTTTCCTCAATGTCAGCATTGTCTGTTTGAATTCTTCAACTGGAACAGAGAGGAATATTACTTCAATCTACTAAACTTGATTAATTTCAAAGGTCTAGAACAAGATACTCTAAAAACTACAGTGAAATAATTGTTATGTTCCAATAGATGCCTCGAGACAGGCTCTTTTTTTCAAGTTCATTTATTTTAATTTTTGTAACAGACTGTAAGGAGAATTGGTATATTAAATCATGGTCTGAAAGTGTCCTTCTGAAAAGACTAAAAGACCAAATGTTCGATTTTCGTTATAACGGTGAAATTTTATTCACACAATGGGCCTGTTGCAAACTTTTGCTAGAGCAGAATGAAGAGTTGTTTCCCATAGATAATGCCTCAAAAATCACGATGAGCGCATCGGCAAAGTCTGAAATGCACTCATAAATTCACAATCTGCGTAAGAAATTTGCGTTATTTTGAGCTTCCCGCTTCAAAAACGATACTACTGCACAGGTGAACATTTTGTTAGAGGAGTCGCTCCATCGTCGGCAATATTCATCATGGCCGACGCTTGCGCAGTTCCTCGCGTAATTCGAGGAGAACTCAAGGTCAATTAAGGCGGGCGAGGAAAATATGAACGTAAACACGCCGATTGTTATCTGGTTTAATCCTGTAGGTGTTATCTCGTTCCATCACACGTGTTTTGGCGGACTGGCGTCGGCCATGATTAGTATTGCCGCCAATGGAACGACTCCTCTAACAAAATGTTCACCTATACCGTAGTATCGTTTTCGAAGCGGGAAGCTCAAAAAATCGCAAATTTCTTACGCAGATTGTGAAGTTATGAGTGCATTTCAGACTTTGCCGATGCGCTCATCGTGATTTTTGAGGCATTATCTGTAGGAAACAACTCTTAGTTTTGCTCTAGCAAAAGTTTGCAACAGGCCCATTGGAGAACTAAAGTAGTACTTTATTAGTCGGACGATCAAGGTATCAAACATTAATGGTCAAATATCGTATTTACCTGTCATGTCGGCAAATTGGTTTACACCGTAGCGAGCGGTCCCTCTCTCAGCATCATTCAATCTGTCGAAATCCTTCAAATTCTCCGAGAATATTTTCAATCTCTTCTCCTTCTCTGCGGGGCTCAAGTATTGTTTATTATATTGGCTGATGAAATCTTCAAATAGGAGATTCACCGCCTTTGCATCAAGGGATCCATAGTGAACCGGCTAAAATAGAAATATTTTTTTAAAAAACTGTCGGATAAGTCTTCATTCAAAAATGTCACATATCTATAATTAACCTATCATAATTCAACTGAATATCAAAAGCGCTAATTTTGTCGTCGTCTGCACGTACGAGGAACGATGGTACGAGAGCCGCTAAGCACCTAACTTGAGCAAAAAGAATTTTTTTGGAAAAAATTAGAAGAATCCTAATGGATGACCGTTGATTAGCTTTTGAAAATCATCATTTTCAACCATAAAGCACAGTGGAGCCAAACATGAGGTATGTTCAGCTGAAACATGCATTGAAATAAAATATCGCGGGATGTAAGTCATGATCGGTTCAAAATATACACCTACAATACATTTTAAAATGTCTTCCAACGATAAACTTTTGGAGCTGTTAAAGGTAAAAAAGTCACTTTTAGCCTGGTTAAAAGTTATTTTGTCCAGACATCCTTCAGTCAAAAGTTATTTTAAGATCATGAAGCTGAGTTTTTCGTCAAATTTCAAAGCCTTATGATTGAATCCTGTGTGGTAAAAAGTTTGATCCCCATCAGTATTCAATGGCAAAGCTGGTAAGGAACAACGTTGCCGGCTTAAAATCAACCTTACCTTCAATTTCTTTGTCTGCCATATTTCATTTTGTTGCCGCACTTCACTTTCGCTGCCATCCCCTGATTCTAATTGACAGACGAATCCGAAAACGAGCACGAACAGAGTATTCTTCATTTTCTTGTCACAGGTTTTCCAACACTGGTCACGGATTTACATTTATAAGTTACAATTACAACTTACAAGTCTGAATCCATGATTATCTGAAAAAATTTAAAATTCAAGAGTTATACTTCGGGGAAATAAGCACGGTAAGAATGGAGGTGAAGAGCTACTTCAAGCACATTCATAATGCAGTGCTCCTCTTCATAGCTTGAGTGATTCATATTGAAAAATCTCGGTAAACAAAGACCTCAAATTCTACTTGATACAATTTTACTAAACATCAACCAAAAGAAGAATAACATTAGTCATACTGAAGTAAAAAGAAAAATAACAATAAAAGTGTCACCAGATTGTCTAATGTCAAATTTCAAATTTTAAATTCTGTGATAATACACTGTTTTGAGCAAAAGCCACTGTGTGGAATATGACTTCCAGAATCCCGTTTAAGTTGTAAAGAGATACTTGCTAAACATTAGAATAGGGTTCACGATGAGTAGACTTAACCCAACTCTGCATCCAGTTCTGCATTTAAAGGGCACATTATTTCGCATTAACGTTTGGTATCATGATGCTCTTTTTGAATGTATGAATTTCTGATCTCCCCGGAATGTTTTTTGCCTATGAGCAAAATTGAAGGCGATCCTCAAGTGGACAATAACTGCCAATAGGTCTACGCACTGTCTAGTGCTCTAATGAAAGTTTATGGCGCAAGATGAATTGCGTTTTTTGAATGGACAGCAATTCTCGCTCCACAATAGGTTTATTTACTAGGCTGCAAACTTGGAGAAGGACTTCAAAAGAACAATATTCATACCTACGAATGAATCCAAAACCTCGTTTATGAGTTCAATCAAAGCTCTCATAGCTATATGAATGTGATATTTCTGAGTCAACATTTTACACGCTTTCTTTGCACTTCCAGGCGGATTCGTTGCTTTTGCCCTCATATGAAAGAAAACTTCGATCAAACGAGATCTACCCAAGGATCGAGGTTTTTTTTCAATTTGGTCAGAGCATGTGACAGTGATCGTGTGGTTTTTAAATAGCTCGCTGTTTTTTATGCTCAGGAGATTTGTTGCGTGGCTGGAAGCGAACTTTAAGGGTGATATCTATCAAAAATGGGGAGGAAGGTGACTATTTTCCTCAGTGATACGTTTTGATTTAGTGCTCTTATGTGATAGAGGTCTAGCAAGGCCATTTCAATAATTTCTTTTTCTATACCCATCAAAATATTTGCATGTATACTCAGGATTCTTCTTTTAAGTCTCTATATTTACACTTAATAATAAACAATGACAAAATATCAGCGCGGGATGAAATTGACTGTGCGGCTCATCTTTCGTAAAGTGTTGTCCTCCCGAAGGTTTATAGTCTTGTTTAATCTAATCCCTTATTTAAGGAAGTTGCGAATAATTTAGTTGATCGTAGCCCCGCGTGTCGCTTTCCCTGTACGCAAATTTACTTTGATTGAATAGAATAAAAAAAATCCAGAATTTTTGAACTCAATTTTTCCTCACGGTCTTTGTAAATACATCCTCAAATTATCAAGGTATTTCTAATTATTCAAATATACGAGTTTTTCTACCAATCCCCTAGATTGGCAACCAGCTACCCCTCGAATAATGCAAGTTACTATGTCGTTGTCATTATAAGTTTCAGACTCTCTCTTCCTATGTTTTTACTCTTGTTTTCTTTCTTTTTAGTTCCTCTCCTTTTTATTTATATTCTCCTCTTTTTCCTCCTGCTATTCGTTTCTCTCATTATAGCGTCCATGTCATGATGGTGTCCATCAGAGCCGTTCCTTATGCGTCAGTCTTAATCTGGCCCTGTTGACATAATGTAATTTTGGAGTCCTCTAGAATTATATAAGAGCAAAACTATAATGATTATCGATGATTGACTGATGATGATTCATTAAAATCACGCTGCAATGTGTAGGAGGGATGCCTATCAACATACGCTTACAAGCGTAGACCATGCGTTAAGTGTAAAGTAAACATTCTCGAAACTGCGATTTGACAGAAGCTTGTGATTGAAAACATCTCTTTCTTGGAATTTGTTTGATTGATTTCCCTCTCTTTCACAATCTTCAAACTGATACATTTTTTCTAAGTCGAGGATTATACATATTAGACTGACGAGTTAGTTAATTGGGTTAGAATTTCACTCTGTCGATTGAATAAGAGTAGAGACGGTTACTCAAAATCAACGAAAACTATACCTCTAAGGAAATAGTTACTTTAGGAATAGAAACCTTGGTGACATTGTAAACTTCATCTGATTGAGGGCTCATAATGAAATTGAAGGGGTTACCTTATTTACCGATTTTTGCCAATTCCTCTGATATTAATTTCGATAATTTTGCCAATTTTTTAAATGATGGAGAGTGGCCTTAAACTGTCGACCCCGATAGATTTCATGAAATATACGATTAAGCTGCATTAAGTAGTCAACAAGGTCTCTATGTTTGATTTCGTTAGCGTGTTATGAAAACAATAAATACATGAAAAAATGTTTTACCCTTAGATGCCGAGGACGGTTTCTGTGCGTAAAGTCCTAAATCGAGCCAATTGACCCGTGCTTAAATACATTGATTTTGATGGTTTTGCGGTATTATATATTTCAATTTTTATATTTTGGAAGGATGGTGAGTAAATACTTGCTTTTAAATTTTCACTTTTTGAGAACATGCTGGCGCTTTCGCAACCCCCCCCCTCCCCCTTCCTCCTTATCGCCAAATGTACTTCTCCGGGGGGGATAGTCGGTTGAGCTTGCTCGGGATCTCTAGGGGTACAGTCGTGAAAAAAAATTCCCTGACACGACATAACTCTCGTCAAAATACCAATTTTTTAACGTGCGCCCTTTAGGGCACTTGAAAAACCTCTAAAAATGTTTTACCTGTTTACATTTTTTTGAAGATGATAATTGATTTGAACACTTTGTAGCATATTAAGAGAAAACTTAACCTTAACTTTTCTCAAATTCGAAAATAAGAGACACCTCAGTGCGCGTGATGACAGCGCAAAGATACAACTATTGGTGCTTGATTGATGACCGTGTTGTATCTAAAAAATTGAAGGTATGAACTCGCTAACTCCACTTTATGCTACCAATAAGATGTCACTCAGATTCAAGAAAGTAGTTAAAAAACGAGGTTCGATTACGTCTCTCCAGTTTTTGGCTGTATTTTTCTTTTAGCCCTTAAAGCACCACTATAAATTAGACAAATGGAATCAACTTAACATCGGAATATGAGCAAAAAAAAGACCTGCGGTGATGACAGCTCAGTGATACAACTATTCGTGCTTGATGGGTGTCCATGTTGCATCTGCAAAATTGAAGGCGCAATAACGGGAGGTGATAACTCTCAATGCTCCGCTCTATGCTGTCAATAAAGTGTTGATCAGCTTCGGGAGGAAAGTAAGAAAAGCGAAGCCCGAATACGGCCCTTCTGTCTTCAGCTGTGTTGACTTTCTAATTTTTTTTCTTTTTTCCAATGTGATGTCTTTAGGAAGTATTGAAGACTATACAGGGTTATTCAAAAGTCTCGCACCACTGGCACTGAGGGGGCCATTTGAAATTTTTGAGTTGCCCCCCGCCCCCTCCCCCCGAGGGGATCAAAAACTGGAAAGAATCTAAAGAAGTTTCCCCCTCGATACGAGGAAAAACGTCTTAAACCACAAGTTGATATCATAATTAGAACTAAACTTATGGTCAGTGGTGCGTGACTTTTGAATAACCCTGTATCTAAAGTTTGTATGTACCGGCAACATACCTCCCCCAACAACAGTCGAGTCAATTCGGCTCGGCTAGGAATTTCTACGGGTGGCTATCAAAAAAATGTCCTGACACTCGATTTTCTTTTTTTCCCGATACCATGTTATACTCTTTTTAGAGGCTCTCGTTGTAACGATTGTCGATCAGATAAAGACGGACAAACTTCGGCATTGATGACTTAATAGATCCTGGTACCATTCAGGGCTGCATAATTTCTACGGTCCCTCGATTTTAGGATTGCAGGCTCGAGGTGTGCAAGTATGTGCATGAAGGTGTACAACGCGGTTAGTCCGGCACCGAAAAATTACGAATTTTCAACGATTATAGCTCGCCCCGTAGTGAACGGGCAATGCGTGAAGTATTCCTGCAGTCTTGTAGGCGCTAATGTGCGTTCCAGGTTCCACGCGCCGGTCAACCGCACCGGCGCGCGTTTGGTCCAATGCGTGAAGTATTCCCACAGTCTTGTAGGCGCTAATGTGCGTTCCAGGTTCCACGCGCCGGTCAACCGCACTGGCGCGCGTTTGGTGCAATGCGTGAAGTATTCCCAGTCTTGTAGGCGCTAGTATGCGATCACCGCCGACTGCGCTGTGTTTGGCGCGGATGGTTTAACTCTCAGAGTCAGCGTTTTTCCTTGTGTCACTACCATTGAGTTTTGCACACTCTGTATGAATTACTGTCATTGAAAGTGATAGAGAAAAATATATTAAAGTTCACTGATTTCTTCTATTCAATGACAGGCGGTTGACATCAAACCCGAACCTGTTGTGAAACTGCATTGATTTTTCAGTCGCCGGAAACTTTTAAACAACGACAGTAGCCATTATTCACGCTCTTGAGAAGGCTAATTCCTGGGTATGAACCTGCTTTTTGACCTATAAGCCAGGTCGACGCTCGTTACGTCGCAAAGTGGATCGAGTCAATTGGAGAGGTCGGACATGAAATTTTGTATTAAACTGCAACTTTTGATGGATGCTTTAAGAAGATAATTTACGAGGAAACCAATGGATCCACTTTTAGAGCCTCAAACTTTTGTATAAAGGGAGATATAAGCTTTTAAAGTTTCCAAATTTTGTCCGGCCTGTCCTGTTAACTCGATCCACTGTGCATAGGGAGGACTATTGTAACGGGCTCTGTCATGATCATGTATTTATTATAATGGGTCTCATGGCTTAGATCACAATGGATATCTGATATAGCTCCCATTGTATTTAAACACGTCCAATCTGATATGCCATATAACCAACTTAAATTATTGGGGTTACCTTCTCCCCATTATTTTGGAACTTCGGGAGGCTGTAGGTCAAAAGGTTCAAAATTTAACCCCCCACGTGAGTAACATTAACATCGCTGGAAAGATCATTAAAAACGGAAGTTTCTCTCGATAACTGGAAATCGCTATCTATCACCATATCTTACCGCCGCGCCGTTATCAGGCAGATAATGGGTATCGTGGGTATTTTTATGGCCGTCGGGTGGCGAAACTCTACTGCACTCAAATCATAAACAAAACAGTAGGTTTTTTATTTCTTTTCAAAAATAACGTCAAAAAGTAATCTGAAATCGGGTACTTAATCAATGAGTATTCAAAGGAAGTCTTTAAGAGAAACTGCAGCGCAATACTTTTATACAGGGCGATCCAAAAGTTCCGCACCGCTAGCACCATACATCAACCCTGTAACTTTTAAATAAATCGAAGTAAAGACTCGAAATATTGTGGAGACCCCTGGGTCAAAGTAGGCAACTTTTGGGACACCCCTCTCCACAGAATTTCAATGGTATCATCCCGAAAAAGGGTAAAAACTCCACGGGTTATGGAGGTGGTTTTAGACTTTTGGATCACCCTGTAATGTTACTGTGATGTACGGATTCCCTGAACCTCTAGAGGTTCGAGGAACCTGTATGCGCGAGAACCTCTAGAGGTTCGCGGAATCCGCCTACACAAACTTTCTCATTATAACTATGCCACTTTATTCATTAGTCTTGCCTTGCCTTGCCTCACTGATCCACCACTTTGCATTTTTTTCTTTCTCTAGTGTTGATTACAATGCATGTGAGCATACTTGTAGCACCGTGTAGTTCAGTGTTATTGTGAGTTTTTAGCCTGCTGCTTACCGCTGATGGAACGTTGACCTAAAAAGTTTTGCTTTTTACATCCAAGTGCGTATGTATACACAAACAAACAAAAATATATTTATATTTTTTTATTACAAAAGCCTTGAGACGAATCTATACTTAGAGCACGTATTTGATTCTCTAGGTTTGTTTAAAATTGGATTTCAACAAAATATATTTCATAGGGAATATCACAAACCGGATTAAAGAAGGGTCCATGACTTCATCACAAAAGGAAACATATTTATAATGAGAGTCGTGGTGTCGTCATCTCACAATTAAATATAGCAACACAACGCGATACTCTTCAAGAGCAGCCTCTTGAATTGTAAGGAAGGAGCTCAGCTTGACATTCAAGCATTGAATTCAGAATTCAGCCACGTGTAAAATATATTCGGAACAAATCTTAAATTTATATCTTCAGTTAACGAGAATGCAATTGGCAAATAAGGTATAAATAAAAAATATAAAGAAATCATAATCCAGTTGGTAGAAAAGATAAAAAACGGGGAACTAAAACTGACAGCTTTATATTTGTATTTTAATATCTTCATTGGGTTTAGAAGTACAGATGCATACTAAATGGTGTAAGCCGCATGAATTAAAGGATAATTAAAAATATCAATTTTCGACTGCTGTGCAATTTTGCATACAAATAGTGTGCGCTGACAATGCTTTTCAGGATGCGAGTCTATAAAACTTGTTGGTCTTCCGGTCGGAGTTAACAAGCAGGCAAAAAGAGGAGGATTTATCATGAACAGAAGTATCATTTAGCTTCGCCTCATTTCAAAACACCGCTACTCGGGTAATTCGCAACTCCACATGTATTATCACCTCTGTACACGTACCAGTAACCCTGCAAATATATAAAGCAAATTATCAATCTAGCAAAGCAACACTTTTGTTCGTCTACACGTACCAGTAACCCTGCAAATATATAAAGCAAATTATCAATCTTGTAAACCAACACTTTTGTCCGTTAGTCAAAAAAATTCCTGTAGATAACATCATAAAAAACTAATGAAAGCAATTTTATCATTAAAACATTTTCATGTAAAATTTTCTAAAAAATTCAAAGTGTCAAGATAACTTGTTCCGATGACAATTTATTAATATTTCTTTATCGTGGACATAAACCCAGACACCAAGGTGTGCTTGGTTGAAAGTCTAAGTGCAAATAAAACAACACCAGACATCGTGACGTAGTCAGAATCACAAGCGCTAAGGGTAGGCTCACGACGCCATAAAGCGGAATACGGGCATATTACCGCTGTAGTATGTAAATTTTTCTGCCCTTCCGATCATGAAGATTACCGTATCGATATACTTGAATCCCTCCCCCCCCCCTCCGCTAATAAAAAATCCATGATCAGTCTCGAGGTATGTCTGCATTTCCGATTTTTTATTTATGAAGCCGATGTCGCGATGGTTTTTGAGCTTCATTCAATGTCTTTTTAATCCAACGTGTTATAAAAAAAATTTATCACCCTCATTATTAATGGGACAGGCTTCAGCCCCCTGCTTTAATTAGACAAAATCTTGCTCTGATACTGTCAACACCGTTTAAATTCGTGTTCTTTTCATAATTGGTCAGAAATAGGGTGTAAATTTTTATCGATAAGATTCCGTGAAGTTTCGAGTGGGAAAAATCTGTTGTTGTAATTTTTCAATACGTTCTCAGGCCTCCGACCTATATTAAAAGTTATAAAACTGTGAAATAGATATATTTAATGCATATAAATTTCAAGGGGAGGGATGCCGTTACAGCCGTTACTTGCACATGGAAAATAACTGAAAAAGAGCACGTGAAAAATGTTATCTCTTGTGACTAAAATAGCTAAGTGTTCGAGAATAAGTTGAATTTTGAATGATGCAACACTTTCTCCGTCTCCTTCGTGCTTAAATATGACTTGCCTCCTTTGTTGAGTGCCAAATGTCTTGACAATTTATTTTTTCCCATGCAAATGGTCGTTTCGATTCTCTTGAAAATTTCAAGAATATCAGTGGAGCTATTTTCTTGTGGAAAAAATGAAATGTGCAAATACATTTGCTGACATCTTATGTCACCTGGTTCTCGTTCGAGTAACACCGCCAAGTTTTTCTATCAGCTATCAATTATACCTATAAAGTAAGTATGATTACCTTATCACAAGCGTATGTGCCCCAGCTATTTTTAGCGATCCAGTAAGGTAGCCGTTTCTTTTTTCCATCTAGTTTAACGACTAAAAATAGAAGGAAAAAGAACTAATGTTAGACAAAGGTTTATAATTGAACCTCCAATAGAAATGCATCCTCGTCAAAATTCCTCGTAGAGAATGTAAAATGTATCAATATTTAGTGTTTCAATACTCAGTATAAACGCGGTGGTCTGTCATGAAAAACACAAGATACCATTTGGACTGCATTTTGCAATTAGGAAGGAACTACAATTTCTGGCTCCGTTTACAAACAACACTGAAAAAGAAAACACATTGGATCTAGAGTCCAGACTCTTAAAAACATGGACAAGAAAAAATACTCTTGATTCAATCAGATTTAAGCCTAAATCAAGAACCAAGCCTCTTAATTTGAGCGGATTTCCTTTTGATTTAAGCTCAAATCTGATTGAATCAAGAGTCCATTTTCTTATCAATGTTTTCAAGAGTCTGGACTCTAGATCCAATGTGTTTTTTTTTGCCAGTGAAAGAATGTACCATTAGTTTTCCTATACACATAAGAGCTTTTACGGATGTGCAAGAAATTATGGTTCCCAATCGCAAAATTCAGTCCATTTGGGGCGCTCAGCTCAAAAGAGAGGAGGGCACCACATAGAGATGTTTAAATGAAAAACCATACCTTCACAGAAAAAAGGAGATATTTCATGCTGATCATTTTTGTGCCGTGAGTAAAAATTTGCCCCTTTCTCCGCTTCAGCGTTGTATTTTTTTAATCAAATCAATGTATAATTTTCCACGTTATATTGACTCTCTCGAGAGGTGTAAATTCGGTCGAAATACTTTTTGAAAAAAAATTTCGCAAGTCATGTTGGTCACACCAATATCCACAGTTAGCTGGCCACAGACTCGAACTATGCGGCGCACTCAAACTGTGGAATCCCAGGCTGACCTTGTCGCCTTTGACCTAGCTCTTGTTTTGAAATTGCATACCCACCAAAATTCAGGCACTTTGAGTGAATCCGCAGATTTATAATGATGCAACGCCGCACACCGATGCCGCAGTTGAACCTCGTTAAGCAGAGAGGAACCAAGCCACATCAGCTATTGTCAAATTTAGTGGGGCATTTTAATTTTTAACATGAAAACTGTTGTACAGATTTCATTGAATTTTCTGCTTAGTATGAGGCAAATTTCTTAAATTTTCGACAGAATCCGCACAAAATGTCTCTTGTAAAATATTGAATCGTCCAATTATATTTGGAAATAGCTGACGTGGCTTGGTTCCTTTCTGCTGAACAAGGTCCAGTTTATGTTGCGCTTGAGCCATTTTTTTCTCTGCGGGGATGAAATCCCATGAGAAGACTCCTCGAACCCCCTCCTCCATTAATTTTTTTAAAATTTAAAATGGGAGGAGGGGCACCGATGCTTTTGGCGTTAACTTGCTTTTGCATTTTTTCCAAAGACGATCCTGGTGAGAGAGCATCTAAAATGTTTGTCTCCAGCTGCAATTTTGGAACTTCCAGAAAATTGCATTTTTCACAAAAATCCCTCAATGACTCAAAAACTCTAAGAATAATCTGAATTGCGAGATGATGGTTGCACGACGTAAAATATAATTACGTGATGGAATATTATGAATGATACCTCAATTCTAATCCAAGGTGCATAATTTATGTTTTTACTTCTTCGAAAATGACTGTTTCTTTGTACGTAATTAGATACACTGGGTGTGCCGAAAAATCTCCCGACTTACCTGCCACACCGTAGCCTACGAATGCGATTCCATGGTTTGCTCTTGTTTCATTCTTTGAGCACCATCTTTCATTTGGATGGGCAATACCTCCTTTGTAAGCCTTGAAAAAATAAAGTTTTATAAATTAAAATTCAAGCAAATACAGTATTCAATAATTAGAGACAAAAGCCAAATTCTCGTGAGACAATTATTTAGCCGAAACACAAAAATAAAATAAAAATAAAAATTGTGTTCATTGATTTTAGCCTTGTTTCCCACTGATTTTGTGTGTTTTTGTCGTAATTTGAATGAATATGTGTGATTGCGCACATCGTGTTCTATGCGTCATTCAACTTCAGAAAACTGTATTCGCATGTCAAAATTCTTTCATGGTTTAGTGATCCATTAACATAAGCAACATTTTAACCACTGTTTTTCTCTCTTTGCAGCTTTCTTAAATTGAATTGAACCCCGGCGATTCAGGTTTGCATTTTTGCAAAATAGGCTTACTAGCGTTGAGCGTAAAAGAAAGAGACTCATAAACTTACACCCATAGCCATGGCGTCAAGAGCAATAGAGATAGGTCCGTTTTTAAAGGTGTATTGCATCATCTTCTTTTCATTGGTTGGAAGGTTGACATTTTTCTCGATCTTAGCTACAACTTTTGACTTGTCAAAACTGCACTCTTGATCCCAACCCTTGTACGGGTATGAGTCTGCGTCTTGAATTCCACCGCATTCCTTACAGTAATTTATGGCATTCTCCATCCATCCACCACCACATCCGTACGATGTTGTGTCGCAGTCGACGATCTCTAAAGACACGAACCAAAATGTATAAAGTTAAAACAATTAATGTGATGAACTGTCGATTGCTCACTGTACAAGTTCAACACTCTCTAGAGCCAAAAAAATTGGATTTCGTTTAAACTTTCCTTCCAAATAATCTGAATTCATTACTGAACATCGTTGGCGACAAAATTTAAAATTCTAACAGTTTGACATTTTCCCACACCCAATTTATTTTACGATAATTCTGTGACGTTAAAGTATTTAAATATAACAGAGACATGAGAAAAAATAGGTGTTTTTTAAGCATTTATTTTATTTTATTTCTTTTACTGCAACAAGGTATGAAAGCATCATGCAGACGTCTAATCTTCGAATTCATTCAGGTTTATTTTGCTATACACCGCATTTTGATTGCATTTAGCCGTAGGGAGGCAACGCGATTGTAGTAATTTAAAAATCGTGCATCTTCATCTTCTCTAAAATAGTGCCTAAAATATCTAGATTTCTTGTTTTCCAACCAAAAAATTGTAAGTTTTACAGGAAAATTGTTGTATACATTGTACTACGATGCATATTTTGATATCTTTTTAAATCAGAAAAAATTTGCTCAATTTAGAAAACACTGTGATCGGGTTGGTTCCCTTCTGCTAAATGCGATCGATTCTTTCCACAAGACTCAGCGACCGTCAAATAATCCAACAACAGTTTAATTTTAGGTACATAAAATGTGGCAAACGCTGTCGGAAACGGCGTTTCGAGCATTTTCCAAGTTAGGCCATAGTGTTGCAACCTCCTATACAGAAAGGTGACGCTGGCAATCGTGCACACCACGTGCGTACCACGAATCCCTGTAAAAGCCGACCACCGCGGACTGACCACTGCCGGATGACCATGTCCCTCTTGCACCCTGCTGAGGGACCAAACAGGGCATTGGAGTGGCATATAGTCATCCACTGCCGCGTTAAGGAAGAACGCCGTATGAGTCTTCAGACGTTGCCAAGTTTCTTTCGTTAAAAATCGAATTTACTTGGAAAATTGTAAGCAAATTCCCCTAAAATTGTCAGACAATTTTGGAAGCAATTTAATCTAAAATATCTGAAACTTTCAAGGAAACACATGCTTTAATTGCGGCAAAAATACACGTTTTATCAAGGGAAATGTGTCAACTCTCGAATATTCATACGGCGTTCTTCCGTGGCACGGCAGCACAACTTCGGTGGCAAATTTTTGAGTGATATAGAGAACCATTCACCAACGGGTACCAACGTACCAAACCCAGAACGTCAGTGCTAACAGCAAACTGCTTTGACCACTACATCACCGAAACATTGCTAAAATTAGAATAGATCACTTTTTAATCATAATTAACTTACGCTGCTCGGATAAATTCACCAGCTTCTTGTATTTATTGAAGTAAAGTCCTTCTAGATTACAGACAGCCGAGAAAGCCCAGCAAGAACCGCAGAATCCCTGGGGGGGAAAAAGGTGAACAGTTGATTGAGGTACTCCTGGCACATGAAATGCTTGCCCAAAATAATTCCTCTTGGCCAACATGACATATATCCTCCCCCAACTAACGCACGTAAGATGGCCGACTGCTTACTTTTCACAATGTATTAAATATAATCCGTTTGTATTACCTCAAAGCTCCCAAAAATTAGGGAAGACAATAGCGGGAGGAAGCAAAAAGTGACACAAATCGTTCTTGCTTTTTTGGCAAACCTTTTACGGGTGTATCTATAAACTGCTTGAGCAATTTTGTTCCTGATATGATCCGAGACTCTCTCTTCCGTTATGATCTAGTGTTGCAAGAAAAAAAGAAAAAAAACCTTCATGTGCTCGCTATGTTCATCCGACCATGGAAATATTCGGAAATGGGAACAATTTAAAAATTCAAATTTATATCTGCTCGGAATATATAAAAGGTGATAGGTAGCAAACATACTTCAACGGTACACCGCGCAAGTTTGATCATATGTTTTTCCATTCATAAGTCACTTAGAATTAGGCCGAAGTTCACAGGGAGAACTCTGTCACTTATTCTTACGTATAGAAGTGTTCTATTTCTGCGATTTTCATGAGTTACCGTCTTAATGAGGAATGTGAGAAACAAGGATTCTTATAATTAGTTGAGAAAATCGTAATACGAACCTGATTTTTAACTGGAGTAACTGCTCCTTTCTGTCTCCAGTCAAAATTTTTTGGAGCTTTCACGTTTTTCAGTTCTGAATCATCATAATGGTGATCACCCAGCTGATGTTTCATGGCATTTATATCTAGTGTCAGCATCTTATTTCTGAATTCCTCCTCTAAAAATTAAAAGTAAAGCACGTCAAATATTGCGTAGAACATAATCGTCAGTGAACTTTTACTTCTTGTAACATTTGTTGAAATCGCGGTTTCTGAATAGAGAGAGAGTCAAGAGTATAGATAGTTTTTCTTGTGTTACAAAAAGAACCGCCAATATGTCAAATTTCAGGAATTCTGCCGCAGTTTGATGGTAATTTAACACTAGAAAAATGTGGCTAAAGTGTGTCTCGCAATAGTCAACGAAATAATGTATGTACCACTGCAAATATCAGCCGGCTAAGTGTGTAAATTACCTCGGTATTTTTAAAAATCGGTAAGCAAGTAAAATTTTCTGAATCTATACTGACTCGTTAAACTCTTAATTTTAATCTCTGTAAGTACCTACTTTATCCACTTACTTTTGTTTATTTTGTGATTTGTGTTCATTTGATTATGCTCTTGTGAGTTTACATGCGTATTAATTATTAATGACATTATCTTTATCTAATTAATTATTTCTTCGATCATAATTTTATTTAACATAGGTTGATATGATTGATTTTGGATTTTTCGTGAACTTTGGATACAAAAAAATTAAATTTTAAAAGTTCAATAAGTTTCACTCTGAAGTAACGAATAAAGCGGAATCTTTGAAACGACGGATTACGTAACCACTCATCTGCTCTAATATTGTCTATCACTGTCCTCTTACCTGTCATGTCGGAGAACTCGCTGATCCCGTAAACGGCAGTTCCTCTTTCCTCCTCGTTCATCTGGTCATATACTTTTAAATTCTCTGAGAATATCTTCAGTCTTTCCTCTTCTTCTTTCGGATTTTCGTATCGTTTGCCATAGTCGATGGTGAATTGCTTGAACAATGACTTTACCGCCTTCGCGTCAAGTGAGCCATAATGCACCCTCTGAAATAAATAGCATTGTAAAAATATGAACCCGCTATGAGTAATTTTCAGCAGTTCTTTCTAGTAACTGGCGTAATATGCATTCAGGACGCATGTTGCTCCCGTCAAAAAAATGGCACATTTAAACAATTTTTGCGCCAACGCGTTGTCATAACCACGGGTGACCCTCCAGTATTTTATTAGGTGTTGTGTATTGGGGTTTTCCACGATAATGAAGGCGCAATGAAAGTTCCGTCTGTAAAGAATTTTAAAATCGTTTCAATTTCAACAAGTTTTCTCTTAAGAGCGCCTGCACGTTCCTGTAATACTCAACGCTTTGCTACGCAGTTAGTTTAGTTATCTACCCGACCTGAATCGAACTTGAGACTTCTTAGCGTAGGGTACTTCCTCATTTCGGGTATAATTGTGGTTTGGCGAGTTAATTCGAAGCGTATTTCACGAGATTATTTCTAACAGCTTGGATTGTTTACCAACGATTTTTCTTTAAATGCACACTGATTTGGATTAAATACAGCTGTTCTCGGATTTTGCGACAAAAACCGTATAAGGTCCAAGAAAAATAAATAAGAAGAAAAAATGAGTCATTGGTTTTAGATTAGGCGAGGTATGTTTCAGGATTTAGACAGAATGTTTTTGAATTTGGAAACAAGAACAATTCTTCTGTTTTCAAGATTTTTGTATTTTACATGGAAGTATTCCTGCCAAACGGAGCCAGAAACAGGTGAGAAAGAATAGGTGTGCTCGTTTGTCTGGAGCCGTAATAGTGAAAGGAAATTGTAAAGCGCTAGTGACGTCAGCGGCGATGACCAAAACGCGGGACGACAATCTGGAGTCACTAACTCGTGAGCCCTGTCCACAACGCTCTTGTCACATGCCCAGGGTTCATGGAGGCCGCATTCAGCTTGCACATAGTTCCGTTTGACAGAATGTAAAATCCCGCTTTTCCGTTGCTCTGACGGAAACCAAGCCCACTTTTACACTGTTACGTATGCAGCTTCCTGGAGCACACCCCATCTTTCCCACTCGTCTATAGTTTCGTTTGGCAGAAATATGTTCACATATTGTATCTATAATTATTCACACACTCTAATGTGCGGTATTTTTCAAGTTCCACTATGAAACCCGGGAAAACAGGATATGACTGCATATTCCCTGTCGTTTTGATAATTACGATCATGAAAATTATTTTTGAAAAATTTGAAACGGTCGAAAAATTTTCTTTCCTTTAAGTTAGGTCTCCTCAATTCCTGAGCATGCTTGAAATTTGCCACATTGCCACGCTCCTAGACCTAATAACAAGGAAAGTTTCGGGATTTTTCAGCATGCCGGAAAAATGTTTATATACATGCCTTAACACTGCGCCAACGTTTTGTTTGGTGTAAGAAGGCTAAAAAAGCTTACCTCGGGCGCCGAAGGGTGCAGGAATTCCAAACCATCATGGGAAAAGGTAGTGTCGATCCCAACACTAAGAGCCAAAAGCGCCCCCCAAAAAAGTTTTACTGATGTCATGTTCACAACTGCTAGAATCTCAGTTAAAGAGAAACTCTGCGCAACTTATATAAACCCTCGCGCAAACCTCCACCGTAGATATTGTCACACCTCTTAAGTGTTTTGATACATTCAACAGTAGGGCTAAGCCAATGATGCCAATGTGCATTAAAATATTCCCTTAATTTACGCAGAATATTATTAGGAAACCCAAGGAATTGACCACATGTGTGTTTCAAAGAGCGAGCTACTGTATACCTGACGGTGAGCTATGAAGACAATACCTTTATCAAAGAAGCAATCGAGATTTTAAATGAGAGTACTTAAGTTTCCACTTGTTAAAACTATACCTCAGATATTTGCTAAGAGGCTGACTCATTGGATGAATATGTTGCTCTATGCCGAACATGGAAGATTTGTCTATTAAATTAGCCAAAGAAAAAATGCAATATCGTATGTTTTCTCTATTATGCTCACAACAAACCGCCTAGATAAGAATTTTGTATGTTTTGATTTAAAATTTTTAGTCAAATGCTTTTAATATTCATAAAGTTGACGTTGCCATAAATTAGCATGTATAAGGTAGAGCTATAGATACTTTCCCAGTGAATCATGCTTGGTCAAATCGAAAACTCATAGTTCTATCTTCATTGCAAATAAATAAATAAGTTGTACCTTTAAACTTGATTGATGACACTTTTCATCAAAAATAGTCATCGTCATCATTTTTATGCATCATCATCATTTTTATGTATCATCATTATCATCTTCGTCGTTATTAGTAAAAATAAATTGAATCAAAAGTCGCCAAATCATAGGCAGAAAGATTATCCCTGAATCCTGCGTTAAATCGTTAAATTAGAGCTTCCACAGGTGTGCTTGGTGTTTGCATCAGAAATTAGCAAACTGTGCATTCTTCATCTTATACCGTGCAACATTAATTACCACAGCTTTTTTTACATATCTCCAAAATTAACGTGGCTAGACTTTTGAGATAAGGAGTCTGAAGTAAAGTATCCACATGAAGTAAGGACCATTCACTTCATACTCAACTTATCTGAAGGCCACGTCGAATATTAAAGCTCAATCGTGTTGAATGAATAATCCATTGAGACATCAGTTCTTGGAAACGATGAGGCGCGGCTAAAGCAACGAAGCTGCCAAATAAAACAAAAAGGCTTATGACCCAATCTTTATGTATGGTTTGAAACACCATGATTAACGTATCATACAAGATGCATTGTTAATGTGAATAAAGTAAACCCTATCTACGAGAGTGCTCTGTGGCAAATAAATAAATAAATAGATGAATAAATAAATAAATAGATAAATTACACACACATATTTCCTTTTAGCACAAATACGTCCATCCATTTCAAATGATTAATAACACGACAAAGCAGAACAAAATCAAATGAATGATCAATTAATCAATACACGTTTTTCATCGAATTTCCAAAAAGCTATATTACGTAACCTTGAATGAGGAATGTATAAAATATTTGTTGTAAACTTGTAAAAGTACCTAATAGCTATGTAAATTATTAAAACTGTAGACTATAGATTAATGAAAGTTCACGCTAATCATTTTCTTTTTCTTTTTTAAGTGTGTTTTAGTATCTCTTCGTAGACAAATGTGATGTTATTACCTTCATTATACAATTGACTTTGGCAGTGTCAAATATGTACTCAACCATAGTGCGATTTATTTCTGCACGCGCGTATATTTTCGCATTAAACTCAGGACGTTCTTACGAAAGCAAGTACAGTTGAAATGTGCAACATCTCAAAAATTATGTAAAGAAAAGTATTTTATAACATTTTAAAATGCCTGCCTTTCTCTGACAAAGAATACATAGTAAGTAAGTGCCATTGTCATACTGTGTTGCAAATTGCAATGACGCGCCTTTCCAATGATTTTGTTCGCTGCAGGCGTAAAAATATATGCTACAATATTGCAATTTACCCTCTTTGCGAAACTCTTCCAAGAAAATGTCATTATTTAATCCATGAGAGTCACTTTATAGCTTCAATATCTTCTCACGCTTCAAAATAGGGGTTACTGACAAATAATTGGCCTCATATTTTCGATCTTTAAAGTCCATGTGCAATGACAATTTTATCATGTATTTTTTACGACTATTTCTACATTATCGTAAAATCACCCTCAAGAGGAAGTATTTAAAAAAATAAAAAATTCCAAGATTTGTTATGGATTTTGAATTTCGATTTCTTGAGGCGGAAAATAGGAGAATTTGTGTAGAAAATGAAATTTCCAATTTTGAGTCCCTCTATTCTATACCTTACTTCTCTGCGTGATTTTTTGGAAGACTTTTTTTTCATGCAGAAGGCTACGTTGAATTATTCCGCAAAAAAAAACGCTAGGAACCTTGAAACTGATACCAGTCCATGGTCCTAGTATCAAATAAAAACTCAAATTCTTTAGGTGTAAAAGTAAAAAATGTTGATAACTTTATTTGTGTAAAACTTTTTGTCTACTATTCTAAGTAAAGTATAAAAAATGAGATCATTTATAAGAGAACTGCGAAATAAAGAAAATCTGCTATTTCCTGCGAAATCTTCGTTCAGTCTTGAGTACATCTCTTCCACCTCTTACTTAGGCTATCACTGCTGAGCTGGCAAAATTATTGATTCCGCAAGAATTGTCGCCTCTATGAAGGTAGAAATAACCCTGAAACACAAAAAAAATTCTATGAAATGGATATAAATAACTATTTTAAGTATACAAAAATAACAACTTTCATAATGTGTAGTTGAAAATACTGCTTCCACCCGGAATCAGTATATACAAAATACATCGATCTGCTATTTGGTTCCCACCAAAAACCAGCTCATTTAAGAGGATTAACAATAAACGATTTGCCATATTGGATTTTATTAAAAGTCCTAAAATAAGCTCACCTTACTAAGAAATTATACCCACAATTAAATCACTATTGTGCACATAAGTGAAGCAAATGCTTCATAATGCATTGATCCATTTCTATTGCAAATAGATCTCATTTATTTGATAGAACTGAGAAGATGTCTCTCGAACAATTCTGTAATGCGTCCACATATTTATATTGCACAAAACTAGCATTATTCAAGAAATTCATTCTGTCACGTTCATAAGGTTATCAAGTAGTGTCGCATTATATCAGAGATTAAACATTCATTATGAAAATCTGTAAACGTAGAATGAAATCCCATGCATATTTCGAACAAATTAAAATTAAAATCTCAAATTAATGGGTACAACAAAATTTGATGAACGTTAAGTAATGAATCAATGATATTCATTCGAATGTACGCCGTTTGATATCTATATACTTAAGACGCTCCTTCAAACCTCCGAGAATACAACATGCCGTACCGAAGCCAAGTGCGGTTCATCGACGAGGTTTCTTTTAGGAATACATAAGAATGCAAACAAAATAAGGTATCAATGATGCGATTTCTACTCTCAATCATTCTTACTACGGCCGTAGTATTCTGCCGTGCGCCGAGCTAACTAAAACGCCGTATGAGCCATCAAGCGTTGCCAAATTTTCTTCGACTAATCACGCATTTTTGAATATTTCCCCCTTCATTTTCCATAGGATTTCGTTCGTGATTTGACCTAACGTGTCTGAAAATGTCAAGGAAAAATATTCAAAATTTTCTTCAAAAATAAATATTCTCGAAAAGAAATTTAGCAATATTCGAATGCTCATACTGCTTTTTTACTTTGCACGGCAGTATTAGACCTACCAATTACGTTTGGAGGAGCCTGATGTTGTAGCTAATTTAGCAGATTGAAGAAAAAGTGGATGAAAAGGATAAAATAATACTGACGACTGAAGATTTATTCAAAGGAAGATAACTGTTAGCTCATGGGTCCTTGATGTGGCGGTAGCCAATCACCATCTAGAGCGAGTAGTGCGCCTTGTGCTTACCTCCCATTGAATAGTGATTGGCTACCGTCACACTGGGAAGGACATTGAAAAAATTGGCTAAGATATTATACATACTTTTTCTCCATAATCTTCACCCCAGCTATTTTTTGCGATCCAAAAAGACAAGCGCTTCTTCACTCCGTTTAATTTTACCGCTATGAGAAAAACAAAACAAATTATCTTGATTAGTTGAAAATGGAACTTCACTTTTTGAATTCATAACCTCATATTTAGGAAATGCACTGGTTGCATCACAAGAGCTTCATTCAAAATATTTTTAGCGATTATACAAACTTGCTTTCAATCATAAAGTAAACCTAGTCATAAATTCCTCAAATTACCAATTATGCAAGATTTTCCAAAATCTACGAAAGGAGCTTAACAAATCGGAGTATTTGGACCTTTCAGATTTATATTTAAGTCTAAAAATGCCACCATAAAAATATTTAGCATGCAAAAAGACTAATATACTTACTTCTCACCCCGTAACCAACCAGGGCAATAGCATGATGAGCATCTTCTGAATTCTTGCTACACAGCTCTTCTGAGGGATGTGAAATTCCACCTTGATAGCCCTGCCAACAAATTAAGGAGTATGATTAAGTGATTGAAGGGTGCTTTTGAATGAGGCACTATACTCTAAAATTTTAATTACTGTAGAAATAATTTAAAAGAGAGGAACAAACCTACAAGAAGACTGTCAAGAGATCTCCCGGGCCAAAAATAGTAGCCTACACTAGCTATTAACTTTGGGGGAAAAAACTATTAATTTTTAACAATATGATGACCTTTATAAAAATAATGACTTATGGTTCACACAGACAGTAATAGATCGAACCATTTCCGCTTTTTAAAGCACTACAGTATGGCAATTAATGCAAATCAAACACATCGACCAAATTCTTAACGAGTGGATTTTATTTTTCCTGGCGAATATGATTTTTTTTTTATAAATATTCCTTAAAGAGATCAAAATTAAGGGTAGCTAGAAAGAATCTTCATCTTTCCAGGAATGTACCAGTATTTTAGATAATACGTGAGGCTGTATGCGTAAAATCGCGGGGCTTGAAAGCTGTTTTAAATTGATTTTATTCATTTCTCCATCCTCTTAATGGCGATGATATCGATGGCTAAAGTGCGACACCAAGTACCTCCGTCGCAATGTTTCAAAATCTCCTCTCGTAGTTTATTTTTTTGAAGAGGAACATTGTTAAGTTTATAGCTTAAAACGTATACAATTCATAATATTCTACCATCAGAGAAAAAAGAGCGAGGATGTTTTCAAGAAATCACGTGGAATGGTTGTCCGAAAGAAAAATAAAGTATGACCGGAAGTCTACAACGTCGCAAATGGAAATACACGGTCTCGCAATTTAGCCATCGATATTCTCCCGTTGGGTCTATCGAAAAGAACTTGGGTGCTTAAAAATTATAATATGATCCTCCTAGATTTACCGGTCTTACTGAAAATTGCAGGCCATGCGCCATTACAGGCTAATTACAGGCTAGTCATGTAAAGGCCTAGGTACACACGGCGATTAATCGCGGCGAGTGGAAGACGAAAGTCAATGGAGAGCCTTAATTTCGATCCATTGACGTCGATATATCGAAATCAAGGCTCTTCATTGGCTTTCGTCTTTCACTCGCCGCGATTAATCGACGTGTGTATCTAGGTCTTTAAATGTAAACAGGTTTTTTTTTTTTCTTTTTCTTTTTCTTTTTCTTTTTCTTTTTAATACTCATGTAAAGTATTTAAATTTTGAGATGTGCATGGCACTGGATACTAACCCACATGGCAGTTGAGTCGAGCGCCACGGAGACGGGGCCATGCTTAAACAAGAACCTGGCGATTTTTTTTTCGTTTTTGGGGAGAAGGCGGTTCCCTTTGACCTTGAGGACCGCCGCTGATACATTGAATCGACAAGCCTGATTCCGCGCTTTGTAAGGATAAGTGGCGGACCTCTCCAATCCACCCGCATCGTGGATGTATTGCACCGCGTTCGTCATGTAACCGCCATAACAACCACCCGAGTTCGTATCACAATCGATGATCTCTGAAACCACAAGTCAAATCCTTACTCTCACGTAAATTAAAGTCCCTTTATACTGAGAGTAAAGACAAAACGAATCCATTTCTGATTGGTTCCCGTGTTTTAGGCCTCCACAGTGTCACAAACGGGAATAGAGATTACACTTTCACCAATTGCAAATATTATCATCTGGAATGGACTGAGGTATTACGGGTTCGACAAGGGACAAACGGAATGAGAGAGGGAACGGAGAAAGGAATTTGAGAATGGGCCGATCAAAGATTACGAAAAACGTTCAATTTCTGTTATCTTTATTTCTGTTTGTGACTCCATGAGGGGGTGTTGTCTTGACTATAAAGGGACTCTAAGGAAAAGTATTCATATGTTTCCTCGAAAATAAACATTTTATCGGAGGAAATTTGGCAACTCTCGGTTTTTCATACGGCGTTCTTCCTTAGCACGGCAGCATGCCAGCCGAGAGTCTCAGCTCATTAGGTCCACGGAGCTTCCAGATCCCAAATCCTTACTCTCACGTAAATTAGAGTCCCTTTACACTGAGAGTAAAGACAATACGAATCCATTTCTGATTAGTTCCCGTATTTTAGGCCTCCACAGTGTTACAAACGGGAATAAAGATTACATTTTCACCGATTGCAAGGATTAAAGACTGGAATGGACTGGGGAATTAGGGGAACCGCAAGGAACAAACGGAATGAGAAAAACAACGGGACCAGGAATTCGGGAATGATGAGTTGATCAAAGATTAGGAAAATTGAACAATTTGTGTAATTTTTATTCCCATTTTATGACATCCATGAGCCGCGTTGTCTTAACTCTCTCTGTATGTATACAGCGAAATCATCATGAGTTGGCTTTTTTTTTCACAAAATACTACGACACTTCGATGTACTATACGCTGGAAAAAAAAATCTCTTAATTCGTGATAGTCCAGATTCTTAAAAAAAATTGACAAGAAAAATACTCTTGATTTAATCGGATTTTTTCTTGAATCGAGAGCCAAGATTCTTAATTTAAGCGGATCTCTTGCTTTTGAGTCAAGCAAAAAGCCGATGGAATCAAGATTATTTTTTCTGTCAAATGCTGTAAAAGTCTCAACTCTAGGTCCAAGAGACTTTTTTCCAGCGTGATGTAAGATAACTATAAGCGGACAATTAAATACAGATATACGACGCAATCCCGCGCTGTATCTGATCAAACTCTCAAAGAGATCCCCTCCCCCCCAAAAAAAAATTAAAAAATTGGGGGGGGGAATATGACTGATTTTTTTTCTTTTTTATTAAATATGAAACGTTGCAAATACCGAAAATTATTGGTACTGGAACATAGAATGACAAAACATGGCGATAAGACTAAAAATGTGACGATGATAAAAATGAGCTAAGAATAATAAAATGGCCTGACATTTAAAATTGTTATCTATTTTGTGATTTTAAACCATGGTTTACGCTAGTAAATTTCTAAATTTGATCTGAAACGCCCTAAACAGCATTTTTTTTAGCGCTTACTTACGTTGCTCCGAAAATTTGTTAAGTTTTTTGTGTTTAACATAGTATAGGCCCTCTAGGTTGGCTACTGCTGAAAACGCCCAACAGGAACCACAATTTTTCTGGAAAAAACGAACAGAACTTAATGAACCTTATAGGATCATCATTGAGAGAAGTAATTTTTTTTTTCCAACCCATAATCTAATACTTTCTCACTCTTAAGAATCTCAAGCCAAATAAATAATCTCCTCTTATATGAGTAACCCGAGAATGGATATCTTCTACTCACCAAGTTGAGCTAGAGTAATGACTCCATGTATTTTAGCAAATTGTTGCTATCAATGGCACTTTTTTTTCTAATGTAAATTTAAAAATAAAACATTATGTGCATGCTCAGCTGAGACTTTCATGGTTGGAGTTTTTTATCCAAATCAAATATCTTCTTGAATACAAGGAAAGTATCCATTCGGGTAAGTATAATCTGATCCAATCCTATAACGAACCTGGTCTTTGACTTTTGTAACCGCTCCTTTAGTCCGCCAATCAAACCGCCTGGGAATTCTCATGCTTTTCAGCTCTGGGGCGTCGTAGACCTCATTTTTGGTCTGCAGGAAAGTTCTTGCGTCAAACTTTAAGAGTTTTTCTTTGAATTCTTGAACTGCGAACAAGTAATATTTATGTAAATTGGTATTAAAAACGAGTACAAGTATTAAAACGAAATAACTATTAATTCAACGTTGTAATGATGTCAAGGAAAATTGTGGTATTTTTATTCATCGTGTTGTTATCAGTATCTGTGATAAGTAAATAGTTATATCAATTCGCTGAAACAGCGTACTTTTCCTGGAGTTTCCGAGGAAAAACTGATTACGGAAAATGTGAAGGATATTATCACCTGTTCATTCGGAGTGAAAGTCGCCGAACTAATCCCCTAGCTTAGTTACACCCAGGCAATGATTTACGTTCAAATGCACGTGATTTAGTGCTCATAACTTCGAGTTGGACGCTAAAAATATATCGACAAATTAAGTGGTCTCTCAGTTGAGTAGATCTCAATGATTTTATTGCTCTCGAGCTCCACTAGAGGCACTCACGATATCAGTCACGTACTTAATTCACAATTTGACTCTGTTAGGAAAACATGAACCATCTTTATTTTGATTTTGATCAAATCTCGTATCTCCACACTGAAGTCCTTCGGAAAATACGTCTTTTTTTGGAACTGCCAAAATCTATAAAATCACGTTTCTTTTATCTTTTATGACGTCAATCCAATTACTGTCCGTTTTGAAAAAATTTGGAAATTACTCTGGAATTTCCCTTTCTTTTTTTCGCTAACTAAATTGACATTTCGAGAGTGGCATGGAGAAGAGGGTGGTCATTTTTAGCTCCTCTAAAATCTTCCTCAGGTCCTTTATCGCCACTCATTGAGGTGGAGAGTGCTGATTATGTCAGAATAGATATCATGTAAAGTGCCCATGTATCCCCACGTACCTCGACTGATGTCCAAGTATAATTATACTACTACATTTTATTAATTATTCCTTTCTCAGTGTTTACTTCTCTTAGACGCAGATTTGCTGGGCAAGTAACTGCTGAGAGGCGGCAAATCAGAAATGACAATTTACGGAGGGGAGAGGGAGATATATAGAGAGGGGAAGGACATAACGCTTTTGGAGTTTATCATTTTATTTATATACGTGTTTGTTTTTTTGTTTTTTTTTTTGTTTTTTTTTTCAAGTTTAAAGTTAGGCATGCCATAGTGTTTACTGTCTAGAATTCTGATTGTATCACTCGTGGATGGTTATAGGACATTTCGTCAACGATTTTTTGTCCGCGCACCTGTTCTTTCCAGTAATTTACGTCCACGCGTTTTTTCGGCACGGGAGTTTTGGTCCACGTGCCAGTTAAGACCCAAAGTTAATTGGCCCACATGTAAATACAAACGACAATTGCTCACGACGTTTTAGGATGAAAATGTAAAATGTCTTGGAAGAATGAGGGTTTGCTTGTTTTGTTTTGTTTTGTCTGTTTGGTCCAACGGAGAAAAATATATAGTTGAGAGTTTTGGTAAAAATGGGGGAGCGTCAATTCAAAGAGACAAAATTCACTGAAACTCTCTACACCTCTTTGGTGTAGTAGGACTTAATTATCTTTCAAGATTTTCCCTCCTTGTTATACCTGAACCGAATAAACCTCTATATTTGCCTCAGCTAAAGGCTCTTAGATTTTTCCAGTGTACGATAAGTGTCTTGATTTATTTTGTGAGGAAAGATCTGTACTTTTAAAGGATGCCTTTCATTCTTAATACGTTCTATTTCGTATAATACTGTGCAACACCTCTGTTGTGAAATAGTTTCTTCAGGCACCGCCGCACGGCGGGCGGGCGGCCAGCGCGAAACACGCATTGGCGCCTACAAACCCAAGTGGATACTTCAAGCATTGTGCAATGCGCGAAGTATCCATTTAGGTTTGTAGGCGCCAGTGAGTCTCTTGTGCTAGCAGCACGCCGCGCCGCTCCGCTCTCTTAGGCTTTAATATGTATACTCGCATAGTCAGCGTTTTTAACTCAAGATTTTTGAAATTTTTGCACACTCTGCATTAATTATTTTCATTTAAATTGATGGGGAAAAAATATGTATCAATTTATCAAAGGAGAATAATAATATAATGTGTGTTTTTTTAAATATTGGTGGTTCCGTGTCAAATTTAATGATTTCCAAAGCACTTTAATTTTTTCTTTTACATTTTGTGTTATTATTGTGCTGCGGCGAGGTTCACGCGCAACCAAACACTCAAAATTAGACGTATTTGACTCTAAAAGATCGATGTACAAATGGGTTAAAACTAAAGATTGCGTGCTTCTTGGTTTTTTCCCTCTTTTATTCATTTTTGCAGTTTCTGTCGGCACAACTGCGGCTTATTGAGATTAATGTCGCTTGAAACAGGGTTTACAAATATTTGTCACTTTTTAAAAATATAAATGTTTTCAAAATGAAGTAATAATTTCGTAATAAAATAAAAAAAAATTTAAAAAAAAGTACCTATACACATTTAAGGTATATTGTACATCGAATATTTTAAGGATAGAAATAAAACCAAATATTCACCAATGACAATTTAAAAAGATGATTTGAAAGGAGAAAGTGATAACATTTCATTTAGAAAATGAGCAACCATAACAATACCCCCTTCTCTCTCAATTTCTCATTTCCATATTGTCATTATAATTTTACATACCGACTAAAATATAACGCTTGGACCAAGTCACCGTAGCTTATTTTACGTGTGGGCGTAAACTGCTGGACGAAAAAGGTGCGCGGACAAAAAATCGTTGACAAAATGTCCTGAAACCCTGGTGGATATTTCAATGTTTTCCTGATTATCAAAAATAATAGCAATTCGACACACGTGCAGTTGGAGTAGAATGTTAATGATTTCACCGACGTGTGCTCAAAATTCAGTCTGAAAGAGACTTCAGTTTTAGACTAAATTTTGAGCGCACGTTAGTAAAGTCATCAGCACTCCTTTCTCTGATTTACAGGAAAAAGTTCCCTAGTAAAAACCTTGGTTACCCTCTCATTTTCCTGGAGATTTTCTCGTCAAAACAACAAACGTTTTCTGAAAAGTTTCGGTAAAACTGAAAATATTCATTGTTTATCTGTTTTTTTCTTAGAAATAAATTGATCTCTTGAGTTGATTGCGATGCCGCTATTTTAAACTATTTCCGAATGAATTCTTAGGTTTTAGCATTAATTTTCTGACAAATTCCCTGATTCTCCCGGATTATTTTCATTCCTTGAAGAATAATAGTGTCCGAATTTTTCCAAATCCTATGCACAGTGATTTATACGCGGGTTAGATTTAACGTAAAATAGGTGAAATTCGCTCCAAAGTGACAACATTTTTTTGGCAATTTTCAAGGAAAAGCACATTACTGCGTAATCTTTCCCGTCGGAGCCTTTGAGGATGTGGCAAAATTAAAATTTAATCGAGGCGGCAAAAAGTCAAAACTGGGTATGACTTCTCCCATTCAAATCCATATATTAGACTGATAGCCGTAAGTTTTCTAAAGTGCAATGCAGCTTTAATGTCAAATTTTCTTTTTTGGCCCTCATCCGTGAGCAGTTATCCTTAACGGTCAGCTTCTTATCCAGAGAAAAATACTCGTAACCTAGGAAAACCTAAGTTATTTATTTTCAAAATATTTTACGATTTGGAAACTTTACCTGTCATATCCGAAAACTTATTCACACCATAGGTTGCAGTTCCTCGCTCAGCCTTATTCAACGTGTTGTAAATCTTCAAATTCTCCGAAAAGATTTCCAACCTTTTCGCCTTGTCGGTAGGACTCGCATAAACTTTTTTGTATTTCTTAACGAAACCTTCAAATAATGATTTTACAACCCCCGATGTCATCGACAAGTCCTCGTTCACCTGCAGTAATTACGAAATTGCATTAGTTAGATTCAACAACATTTTGTCGCAGAATTTGATAACAAAAGACGGATCTATTTGGGCACAGAAAACGAATTTTCCGAAAGAATGGTTGATTAACGTGAGTAATTTTGGGTGTCAGAAATTGATTTTAAAAACTGGGGACTTGGCATTAAGAATGTAAAATAGGTCTTTTAGAAAAGGTCCCACAGAAGGGCTCTTCTTCTTCTTTACTCATTGAGCTAATTTTAGAAATGTTTACTTTTTTTATTGAATGACCAATAAGAAGTATAGATATTGCGTCATTGTGTTTAAATGACACATTCGCTGTAATTTTAAGTTTGAAATTAGATTGCTCGATCACAAGATGTACCACCTTCCTGAATTATATTCGTGGTTGGGGGAAGATGAGCCAAGACGAAAAAGTTGATCACTTTAAAGGTACATGGTTTCTCTGGCAGTAAAATTTATCTTCAAATGAATCCTTGTCATCCTCATCAGGGCTGCAGGAACGCGACCCTGCAGGGTTGCGAGGCCAATCGAGTGAAAAATGGAAAGACGAGCAGTTCTCAGCAAAAAAGTTGTGCGTTTCCCACATCATGATGAAAGTCTAATGTTTTTTTGTTTTTTTTTAAAAAAAGAAGAGAAAAAAAATGGAGTCAAAAGATTTTGAAAATGCGGTAAGAACAATTTCAAGAATAAGACACAGAGAGAAAATTCAGCACAAAATTTTTGCTGATACGGAAAGTAAAACACAAAATAACTCCAGCCTTCAGTTGACAATTTCAAGAGAAAATGCCAGCTAGTTTTTCTGGAAGAAATTTAATAATAATAAAAAAAAAAAAAAAAAAAAAAAAAAAAAAAAACAAGTGGTGAATGCCAACGTCGCAATCGGAGGAATGCATTATCCCAGTCTCTCCATGTTGTTTTATCCGTAAATGCACTGTAACTGTAACGAACACATAAATTGGTGTTGGTTTGTGTTTCACTTCCTGTATTTACCAAAAGTAACACAAGAACACAAATCGACGGTGTAAGTCGGCAATCACATACCTCGTTTGCGATGTCTGAAAATCTCCGCCTCTTTGTTATTTTTTAAAGGAGAACAAATTGACATCATTCCTTGAAATTTTTGCCATTTTGGTATTCAAATTTTGCCAAATCCTCTCATAAAATATTTATTTTGAAGAAAGTTTTGAATATTTTCCCCTGAAATTTTCAGATACTTTATATCAAACTACGAATAATAATCCCGAAAAATTTAAGGAAAAATACTCGTAAATTTTTCCGAAAATTTGAGTTCCATTCAAGGAAATGGCACTGCCCGAAGGCTCATACTGCGTATTTCCTTAGCACGGCAGAGTAATGCCCTACACTGAAAAAAAAATGCGCTTACCTCAAGCGAGATGATTCTTGAACTTGCCGCCAAGAATTGTTTTGTCTTGATCTAAACAGAATTTTTGATGATACAAGAAAAATAATGCTTGGGTTAAGCAAAAAAAACAGTTCATATTAAGCAGCAAAATTCTTGATCCAAGAAAAATACTTCTTGGCGGCAAACTTAAGATTTTTTTTTTTTTTCAGTGTAAGGTGTCCGCTCAGCCGAAAGCAGTTCGTTTCAAAATCACGCAAATATGGAACTTGAGGCGTCTGACTGAAAAACTCACCGTCAAATTCTGTAGCCGCAGTTTTTCTCCGTACTCATGCGAGTCGAACCCCTCACTTTTGCCCAATGTCAAACAAAACCAAAGCACGGAAAGGGCTGTCAGGACGCGACTCACGGGAAACTTCATTGTGATGCCGCGCGGGCACGTCGTTCAAAAAATAATTTGCTTTTGTAACCGCGGCTTCTTTTTATACTCTCCAAGCTCCAGTCAAGCACGTGCATTTGTTTCACACTTTGCTCTTTTGGCGGGATCTTAAGATTAAATTAGGTAAGTCGAATTAAACCAAGCTTTACTCATTCGATCGATTTTTTCTTTTTAACATCATCGGCACTCGTGTCAAGTGAGTGAAATGTTCTTTTTCGGTGAGTGGGTACCCACCTGTGATGTTCTACGAGTCGTTCCGACCTCTTATTTTGACTCCTGACTAAATATGCTGATTTTTTTCATGTGATCAATGGATGTATGGATTGCATTTTGCGAAAAGGAACCAAGAGCATTCCAATGTCGCTAAGATTGTGCAACTTTCTCTACCTTGCAATTAAAAACTGATCATATATACAAATTGTATCGTTACTCCCATTCCCATTAAACTATAAATTCGAGAAGAAATTTACCTTTGTAATTTTAATTTTTTACATGATATCAGTAATCTTATTGCAAAGAATGTAAGTTGCACAATCCTAGCAACATTGGAATGTCCTTGATTCCTTTTTGCAAAATGCAATCCATATAAGTCTGATTATTCCGATGCTGAACCGATTTATATCAAAGAACTTATGGCAATTGTAATGTTTCAATATTGTTTTGCATTGTTTTTATTTTATTCCTTTAGTTAACCCTCAGATTTCCGTGACCTTTTTATATACGCTAAGTCCCAAGTCGGATTAAATTGATCCATACTTTTATACATTGATTTTGATAGATTTAAGTAATTTATAGAATATTTCTATGTTTTTGAAGGTAAGAAATACATTTTTTTTTAAATGCTCCACTTTTTTATGACATACTGAAAACACTTTGATGACACCTTTTCATCGGCCGTACAGGGCCGGGTTAAGGGGGTGGTCACGTGGACCGCGGCCCATGGCGGCAAATTTTGAATTTTTTTTAAATGTAGGTATGTTAAGAAATTGGATTCAGAAAAAAAAAATTATCAATGAGAAAAGGGGACAAAATCTCTCTTTCCTGAGAATAGAGTAATATCTAATTTTGTCGTTTTTCGGTGATACAAGAGACAGCATCTTTAATTAGTCGAGTTAAGAAAGGAACGAAACACGCAATTTGGCCCAGAGCTCAGCGCAGAGAGGTATGATGACGAGGACTTGAGATGAAAAGGAATAGCCCGGCTCGGCAATCGGCATGTAACACATATTAGCGCCTTCAAGATTGCATGAATACTTCACCCATTGCGCCAAACATAGCGCGGTTAGGAGCGGTTGGCGTGAAACGCATAGCGCCTACAAGACTGCAGGAATACTTCTAGCATTGCGCCAAACACAGTGCGATCAGCGCGGCGCAGCGGCGGAAGTTAAAATTATTAAACCACATTTATGTTTGTTCTTTCATAATTTTTTGGTTCATTTCTTATAAATGAAGGACCTTGTCCACACCTCTAGGTTTATGGAACTTAACTTTCGCGCAAAGTTCCGTGAAATTTTGCAGTAGTGTTGACAGAGCTTTCGCAAAAACTGTATCCAACACGAGTAGGTAAACGCGTCTTATGCACCCCTCCCCCTCCGGCACGTTCACTTGATTGTTTTTATTAATGTTTCAAAACGGATAAGAAGGGGGCGGCAAAATACAGGCGGCCCATGGGCGGCAAATAGGTAAATCCGGCCCTGCAGCCGTACTTAAGTTACTCCTACCGAAAAGACAGTTGGGTCAGTCGACCTGGCTCGGGATTTCTAGGATGTTGTAAAAAAAATTCGCTGACACGACCCTACTCTCGCCAAAGTACCAATTTTTTAGACAAACTCCCTTAGGGCGCTTGAAAGACTTCATGGAGCAAACTTAAACTTAACTTTTCTCAAGTTTCATAAATATGAAGCACATCAACGCGCGTTGACGACAGCACAGAGATACAACTATTCGAGCGTGATGAATGTCCGTGTTGCATCTGCAAAATTGAAGGCGCGATGACGCGAGGCGTGAACTCTCAATGCTCCGCTCTACGCTGCCAATAAGATTTCGCTCGGATTCGGAAGGAAAAAAAAAACATGAAGTTCATGCAATTACGGCTCTCCTATCCGGCTCTGTTGCTCACTTAGTCCTTAAATCATCGTTACAAATAAGACAAACGGAAACAAACACAACATGGAAATAGAGCGAAGGAAAGGACGTGCGTTAATGACGGCGCAGAGATACAACTATTCGTACTTGATGGATGACCGTGTTGCGTCGGCTAAATTGAAGGCGCGATGACGCGAGGCGTGAACTCGCAATGCTCCGCTCTATGCTGTCAATGAGGTCTACGCGCTCAGACTCGAGAGAAAAGCTAAAAAAAAAAAACGAGGCCCTTACTAAAGAAATTTCCTCCGTTGGGAGGGATCAAATACGACCAAAATTTCCGGGAAAAATCTTCCAATCTGGAACACCTGCAGACAATTCCCTACGCCCAACTATGCTGCCATGTTCAGGAAAAACGGCGTGTATCTTCAGTGGGGGATGCATTTCCTTTGACAAACACACATTTTCTTTATTTGGTTCACTTCATGTAATGCGATTGGATTTGGTTCACTTTGAGAACCAAATCCAATCGCAAAAATTCGCCTAGTGATTCTGTAACCACGCTCAATGCAGATTGGCCGTCCCATTTAACGAGCGACGCGCGGCGGGAAATCTCCACGGTAGAGGATATTAATGCAGCATTTTTCCGTAATTTAAGATGCGAGTTGTGTGACCTCTCCTGCAATGAATTTTCATAGTTTGCATCAATGCAGCCTCGTATCTCGTGAGCGGTGTGAAAAGTCGATAAATATTTCATAGAATCTCAAGGTTTTCCGCCTCCCGATGAACAAGAGCTCCATTAATCGCGTACTCTCAGTTCGTCAAACTGACTAAAAGAGGAATTTCCGCGACTGGATACAGTTCATTTTTTGGATGGAAGATTGTTGTAAGAATTCGGACCAATCGGAATCGTGCATATAATTTTCAACCAAGGTGATTCGTCAAGCTCAAGTGACGTGGTCGAACTGGCATGCGATATATCGCATCTTTTAGGTCAAAAATCTCAGCAGATTTTGAATTTTCAGCAAAAAAAAGGACGATAGCCCCTGCGCATGAGCCTAGAAAATCATTCTAAACCAAAAAATCGGCAAAATTCAGAGAAATGAAAGTAGGATAGTGTTTGGAAAAAATACTCGCACTCGATTCAGCTATCGATTTCTGTATCGAATGCGAGGTTTTTTTCTAAACACTGTCCTGCTTTCATTTCTCTGAATTTTGCCGATTTTTGGGGTTAGAATGATTCTTTCGGCTCATGCGCAGAGGCTATCGTCCTTTCTCTGCTGAAAATTCAAAATCTGCCGAGATTTTTGACCTAAAAGATGCGATATACAGCATGCCAGTTCGACCACTTCTTTTGAGCTTGACGAATCACCTTAAAATCCCGGATTAGGTTCAAAAAAGCGCGCCAGTCAATTATTGTGTTGCAATAGCCATATTGCAACACAACTGGGCGAGCAAAAGTGTTTTGTATCATTCACTTCACAATATGCAATATTAATAGAATGTCCGCACGGGGCGCGAGATGCGTTCGGCGTTCCCCCTTAGCAAGGCCTTCTCAATTCAAAACTCGCGCGTATTGCACTTCAGAAAATCGCAACTAGAGAGCGCAGCAAACCAATAGTTTGGTCAATTTTATTCACATTCGTTACTTTTACCGACACCTGCAGCGCTGACTGCATCCTTCTAATCTCGATTTCTTTTCGCCGATGTTTCTTTATTTACTTTCTAGGTAATGGCTGACATTGAATTAAATATTGATAATCTAATTCAGCGACTCTTAGAAGGTAATTCAACCGATTATTTATGACTTATCATCTTCATATTGTGTTCTTTTGTTGTTTTCTTTCCCTTTGCACCACTATGTCCTCCCTCCCTCACGAAATAAATTACGCACCTACGACACGGCAGGTTACTTCATTAGGCTTCACTTGTCGAATTTAGCTCATTTAATCCATTTAGCAAACAAATTTTAAGCATCCACACCCCTTTTTATGCCTCACTTCCCTCTATCGATCATTACGAATGCCCTTGTGGCACACCGAATGTGTATTACTTCCTTTTCAATGCCTTTATTTTGATGGCTGTTTTGGTTAAATCCAAGGCCACATCTACTGTAATCTCCACTGTTCTCAAGCAATCGGCGTTGCATACCAAATCACCAACAATTCATACTCATTTTCACTATGCAGATCATGTTCACTATTTTTTACATGTCTATGGAACTCAAATTCTCTTTATTGGCCTGATACTGCTCCCATAAATGCGCTCGTTGAATGCACTTATCTTGCCTGCCTCATCGTTTGTCCATTTCCTGACAGGCAACCTAGGCAATGATATATTGATGGATGGTATACATTTCCTCCTCTCTCATCCATCCACTCGTGCAGAATTGGATCATTTATTCCATTTTATGAGGAGTATGCCATGTTTAATGGTTCTTGTAGAACCTGTGTTAGGAATGCTTGTACTCATTAATCCCATCTCTTATTGGTATGAACTATAGGAAATCTTCTGACATTAATTTAGAATTTGTTTCTTTTAATTTACGGACCATTAATTGAAATCTGTATGCACCGTTGACGGTGAATAATTGGAGACTCTGAATTGTCTAAATAACCTCCTTTAGCTCCCATCTATCTTATCTTTCTGTACCTTCAAAAAGTTTTTTGTATTTGTTCCAGTCCGAGGATGTCGCCCTGGAAAATCAGTGCAGATGTCCGAAGCAGAGGTCCGAGGCCTCTGCTCAAAATCAAGAGAAATATTTCTTCAGCAGCCAATCTTGCTGGAATTAGAAGCTCCACTTAAAATCTGTGGTATGTATTTAATGGTTTGCAACATCTACTTTGCATTCCTCTCCGTTAATTTCTGTATTTTTACAAGCACCTTGGTAGTTCATCATTTTGGAAAATTGGCGCTATGTTTAGCAGTCTGGAATCATGAAAAAACTCAGTAGAAAATAGTTTTGACCACACGAAGTTCAGAATCTAGAAATTTTGTCAAACTTACAAGGGGAGGCTACCGATTGTCCACCTCAGATCGGGTTCAAATTTGGCAGAGAGGTAGAATAGGTTAATATAAGAAACCGTATTTTTTTTTAGGTGCCAATGCCCAGCTGTTTTTGAGTTATGAATTTTTGAAGTTGCCGTTTTTTCGTGTCAGCGACGCGCTCAAGTTGAGCCTACTGTGCGCGCATCTTTTAATGCGATCCGAGTGTCCCCACGTTCAAGTGAGACAGTTGCCCAAGCGGTAGCGCGCTCGCCTACGGTGCCGCAGGTTGAGGGTTCGATACTACTCCCGTGAATTACATTTTTGCAATTGATTATTTTGTTTTTTAATCGCTTCATCACAGCAAATTGTAAGTCACCTTGTAGACGTTGTGGTGCTGATTATATTTTTTTCCTTTTTTGTTACACACTCATTAAAATAATAAAAAATACATAAAATTTAATTAGAATCATAACGTCTACAAGGTGACTTACAATTTGCTGTGATGAAGCGATTAAAAAACAAAATAATCAATTGCAAAAATGTAATTCACGGGAGTAGTATCGAACCCTCAACCTGCGGCACCGTAGGCAAGCGCGCTACCGCTTGGGCAACTGTCTCACTTGAACGTGGGGACACTCGGATCGCATTAAAAGATGCGCGCACAGTAGGCTCAACTTGAGCGCGTTGCTGACACGAAAAAACGGCAACTTCAAAAATTCATAACTCAAAAACGGCTGGGCATTGGCACCTAAAAAAAAATACGGTTTCTTATATTAACCTATTCTACCTCTCTGCCAAATTTGAACCCGATCTGAGGTGGACAATCGGTAGCCTCCCCTTGTTAGCAAGCTGCTAACTGCGTTGTCAAGATTGGCGATTAGTGTACACCAGCAGGGGGTTCCCTGAATTTCAACCGAAAGTTGCAGCTGAAATGTAGCTGGTGTGTTCATTGCAAGGGATCCGCAGATTGGGAAACTATCATATTCTTAGTGTGCCTGGGCTCTTTGATTGTTTACATTTTGTAATCTAAATTAAATATAATACCCGATATCGCTTATGCAGTGTAACTATTATCAGTACTTATGCCAGACTTTCCTCAATGATTTATCCGTAACTTAAAAATTCTATTTACTTGAAAATAAAACTGATGTGACACTCACTGAATCATTTTTATAATTCCATTGATACATCTTATAATTGGCATCATGGTGGTAGCATATATCCTTTAGTCCAGCTAAATTTTTAACATTTTGATTTGTGAACTCACTTTCTCACATGAAATCAAACTCAAGACTCAAGAAATATGAAAATGGTTCTTTGGAAAGATGAATGTTTTCCTTTTAAGTAAGGATTGATTATGAAACTATTACTTAAAAGTTATTTCAACAGCGCATGTTCAATTACCAAGTGTAACTTCTTTTTATGAAAGATAACAAACTGTAATGATTGTTCTTTAGAACTACTATCTGTGATGCACGTTTGAAAGAATGATCCAATGGAACATTTTTAAGCAGTTGTTAATTAACTCTCCTTGAATGTGTGGACCTAGTTTAAACTTTCTAAAAATATTCTATACTAAAATTTTATAATTAGACTTTAAACTCTCAAACTTAGTAATGAATCAAGTTTAGCACCAAAACTGTGCCATAGCCTCTCCAAGGAACCTTCATTCTTCTTTTTGCAATGTCTCTTTTGTACTTCCTTAAATGTTTATCACTCTTTTCAAGTATTATGCTGTTAAAGTAAACCCTCTGTTTTTGCATTTAACCAGGTGACATCCATGGGCAGTACACTGATTTGTTGAGATTATTCGAGTATGGTGGATTCCCTCCTGAAGCAAACTACTTGTTCCTCGGGGACTATGTTGATAGAGGAAAGCAGTCATTAGAAACAATTTGTTTACTCCTTGCATACAAGATAAAATATCCTGAGAATTTCTTCCTCCTTCGTGGAAACCATGAGTGTGCAAGTATCAATCGAATATATGGCTTCTATGATGAATGTAAGTCAATTTAACAGTGTTGCTCATACATACAAATGAGGACAGTAAATTAACAAAACCAAGTCTCATTGTACAAAGTTAAGGAGCAAAGAGCCAATGCAACTTTTAAAGAAAGAAAGCGGAAAGAAAAAGAGTTAATAATAGTTTTTAGCTGAACTGATGATCTTTTTTCATAGAGGTGCAAAAATTTTTAAAATTTGACTGTTCCTAATGATCCAATGTGTTTGCCATCCAGAAAATGTTTCAATTTATTGAGAAATGCTTCATTGTAAAGCAAAGTGCGCTAATTCTAGGATTGATTGTAAAACTAGCGCAGGATTAATAATCATCAGAAAGTCAAAACTGATGAAAATTGTCCTGAAGCCTACAATCTGCCTCTCCTTAGCCGCATGTGATGGAGATCAGGCATTTTTTGTTTCTATGAACTCTTTTCCAAAATGCAAATTCTGATCTACAAGAAAAAAGATTCTTTAGCCAGCAAGTGTATGGCTCTAAAAGCCCTTTCATTTTAATCTTCTGAAGGGAGAAAACTTAAGGTTAACCTAAATTTTACTCGCAACTTTTGTTATATTTTTTTTTTTTTTTTTTTTTTTTTAAATGAAAACAACGTAACAGCTCATATTAAAATTTTCTGTGGATTTTCTTCATTCATCCTAAATAAAATTACACAAAATATCCTGGAAACCTTGCGATTAATTTTCCTTGAAGAAACTGAATCATCGACAAACATTTTTAATTATCGAAATTGAGGTACGCATTTTATTCATGTAGGCATTATGAGTATTTTCAAGTTTTTTCCTCATAAAATTCTACCACTAATTTTCATTTGAGCCTAATTTTTTTCAACTTCCATCCATTAACTAAAAGTAATTATCAGGTATAAAATCTAAAAATATCATACATCCCTGTTTGGCATGTTATTCATCCAACCATTTGCTATTTTCAGGTAAGCGGCGGTTCAATATCAAATTATGGAAAACCTTCACAGATTGCTTTAATTGTTTACCAATTGCCGCTATTATCGATGAGAAAATCTTCTGCTGTCATGGTGGTTTAAGCCCAGATCTGCAAGGAATGGAACAAATCAGACGTATAATGCGGCCTACTGATGTACCGGATACAGGTAAATCCTCTCGATAGGTGTTATTTGTTAAAAGTAACCTCTGCTTGGATGCTGACTTTTTCTTTCCAGTCTACTAGCAGTCAAACTGTGTCATATGCCAGGGTTTTTTTTTTTTTTTTTTTTTTTTTTTTTTTTATTTGTACACCAAACAAAATCTGCACAATACATTTTTTTGGATTTGTATAATATCCTCAAAAGCTAGATTTTACCTGCCAAGAAACTTAACTCATTATACACACATTTTACAATTACGCAACATACTGCCTCTGTGTATCAAGGAGGAAAATAAGTACATAAATATTACATGGCAAATTTAAATGTCTTTTTGTTTTATTTTTATTGCGGTCGACTGTCACCTAGTCAAAGGCCAAAGAACCCCCTGATCCTTCCGAAGATGCAGGGAAGCACACTAGTTTTTACAGAAAAAATTTTGAGAACCAAGCTCAAGCTCCCAGGGCATGCGTCACTTTAGCTTGCACTTGCACAGGTCTCATTCAAGGAGTGCAAGCGCTTCCGGGTTGGGGTGGCGATGCAATCGCGACTCATATGCAGTATACATCTTGGTGATGTAATCCTCCACAGAGTCAATGTTGAGCTCAGCGTGCATATCTACGTTCCTCTTGTACCATTTTGCTTTAACTGTAGTCTGTAGACATTTCATATGAATTACTTCGATTTTATTTAGATTTGATTTGGCTGCCACACAATTGGCAGCCATACCTTTAAACTGGCCTCAACATTAACTTGTAGGAAAGCAACTTTAATTGTAGGGACAGTTGAGATTTGCAACCCAAGAGCCACTGCATATTTAAGAATTTTAGTCAACAGTTAATCAACTTTCTTTTTAATATGAGCTCCCCATCTGAGCATGGATGCATCAGGGGTGCCAGAATATCTTGATCACACAACTGAGGCGTCGTAATTGGTGACAGGAATAAATGGAGACGCCTTTAAATCTGGTTTCAACACACTAACATAAACATTTTCTATGCTCTGTGTGCTTTTCTGCAAAATCAAAATTAAATTTGCATATTTTTTGCAAAAGTTTGGGTACAATTGTGTATATTTTGCAAAATTGCAGCAATTGATGTCAATATGTAGAGCCATAACCCTCTTCCCAACCCCCCTTAGGAGCGTTACATATTTAACTAATGGTCCCCTAGTATATTATTAGTCCCCTCCTATTTAAACTGTTAACCTCCAAAAATATGCTTTCAGAAATGCTTTTTTCAAGAAAATTCGTACCTTAAGTGGGTACACTGCAGAATATTTGTTGACGTTAAGTTGTATGATTCTTTTTAGGGTTGCTTTGCGATTTGCTGTGGTCAGATCCAGACAAGGATGTTCAAGGTTGGGGTGAGAATGACCGTGGTGTCTCTTTCACATTTGGTATCGATGTTGTGGCTAAATTCCTAAATAGGCATGATCTGGATCTAATTTGCAGAGCACATCAGGTAATAATATTTTTTCTTTTAGATTCTTTTTTTGTGAACAATTCCCAATCAAATTAGCAAACTGTAGAAATACAAATTTTCATCCACACAATTCATGCATCCTGTGGAAACGCTTATTTTGAAAATAGCGTTTTCACATGTTTTTTCTTTCTTTTCTTTTCTTTTTCTTTTGAAAGGTTCCGGCTGAACGCAAGTACCTATGTAGGCTTGTGATCAGGCAAGTATTGAGGATGCCAAATATTGAAGTTGTGAAATATGGGACTGGACAAGACATGATTAAATGCACAGTTCTTTAAGAGCCCTACTTAATGCAGGGTTGAATGTTTTTTTCTTTTTCCCTTTGTCTTTAGCAGCCTATTTCTTTGCTCGGGGAGTAAATTGAATAAGCTCCGATGGTAGAGTTGATTTCTTGGGTGTTTCAATTTCCAAGTCAATTTTGGTTCTTTCTTCTGCTCTCTTGTTCAGTTATCCATCATATATTTGTTTTAATTTTCCAGGTGGTTGAAGATGGATATGAATTCTTTGCGAAAAGGCAGTTAGTGACCTTGTTTTCTGCCCCTAATTACTGTGGAGAATTTGATAATGCTGGTGGAATGATGTCTGTAGACGAGACTTTAATGTGCTCTTTCCAGGTAATAAGGAAGTAATTGTTCAACTATTCTCATCAGTCGCTAATCTCTTATTTGAGTAAAGGAAAATCAGTTATTGAATCCAATAAATGCTCTGGAAGTTCCATTTCAGCTTTAATTTTCAGTTTCGCATTACCAATATGTATTATGCTAGCACTATAACCAGTGATTGGGTGACCAGTGAAAGGAAAGGTAATCAGAACCATCGTCAGGACAAATGCAATAAAGTTTGGCACTCTAGGTGGCATTTCATTGGTTGGATTGGTCTCTTTTTAAGAAATTCAAAAGGAGCTGAGATTTTGAAACACAGCAACCGTAATACACACATTTTTGCAGTTCCCTTGTCATAATGCACCATTACTGCAACATCAATACTACATGTTTCTTCTTTTATTTTTTGCCGCAGATCTTGAAACCCTCTGAAAAGAAAGCAAAATATCAATATGCTGGTATGAATTCAGGCCGTCCTTCAACACCTCAAAGGAATCCGATAAAAAAGAAATAGACAAGCAGGTAATTCTTAATGCTGCCTAATTTCCAGCTTGATTCAGCAGTTTATTTCAACCAATTGTCTCGCTACTCACGGAGACAAAAATCAACCAAAATTTACTATACTCTATCCAGCGAGTTATGGCACTTGGTATATCGGAATAATAGGCAGGATGTGGTAGCGGCGGAGCTGCTCTCACCCTCGTCACCTGTCAATGTGGCCAATTTTTTCCCTTCGCACAGTGAAAAGTATTGATCACCGATCAAAAATCTCTATCTAAAGATTATTTGATCACTGCCAGTACAAGTACTCATTTTAAGATTAATAGCCCCTGATGAAATCTCAATAAAGCACCTGAAAGAGATTAAATCAACCCTCAACTCATTTGTTCCCAAAATATAGCGTATAGCACATCACTGCGGCACTGCAGTCCATTGTGCGACAAGAGATTGATTCGGTGCATTGACAGATGGCGAAGGTGGTTGTAGCTGGCCACCACTACATTGTGCCTTTTATTCCAATTAACCAAGTGCCATAAACCACTGGACAGAGTAAGACTATTTCTCTTATGGTGCTGTGCTAAGAGAAAATGCAGTACGAGCCCAATTAATTTTTTTGGAGTTAATCGTGTGTCTTGGTGAAGTCAAAAAAAGCCGTATCTCTGTTGGTTTTAGGGATATGAAGAAGGGTACTTGCTGGGGCTGCTACAATCGACTGCTGCATGTCCAAAAAATCGTAGAAGCTGGTGACACTCACAGTGTTTTACCCCATGCGCTTTGGATTCCCAGCATTTGACCTGTAAAGATATGTGGTTGGCATGAATCGGCATCTTTTCCCAACGCCCTTACAGTCACGAAACTTTATTGTCGCTGAAAAACTTTTTTAAATGATGCGTTTTGCCATTAAAGACCATTGGAATAATTCAAGACCTAATGGTAATATTTTTACTTTCTATAGGACTCCATGCAAACGACTGCACATGGTGACTGGAAGGGTTAATTAGGTTGGGGCATGAAATTTAAGTACCCCAGAACACTTGTTATCAGGCTTTTTACCAAGGCTTTGAATGAAATAACACAGAGGCGTCCACACCCCGGCTTGATGGCTTATTGGTTTACAAGGCCTCTCAACTGACAGTGCCTGTGGTTTAGGCTCAGTTTTTTGGGCATGTAGGCTGCTTTTGACCCAAAAATGCCCGATTTATCTGATCTTTTGAAATCAAGTTTGCCCGTGACTGAATTGGCAACAGCAGACTCGTGAGAATAATGATAGAGTCTGAGTTTGTGACAACTCGATTTTGCTGAGACATCTGCTTATTTCAAATTTTTGTGAAGCTATCACCATGCTCTTTACGTCTCTAAAATCATAAAGTTTTTCAAAGTGAAAGTTACTCCATTTGTTCGTCTACTCATAAGGCACACTATGTCATAATTCACTTTCAATTATAATCATTTTTGAAAGGGTGAAATATGGTTTGTAACGAAAAAAGCATACTTCATCACATACATTTTTATCAAAGACATGTCCTTGTCAATCTTCAAAGAAGAATGTTTACATATGAACTCTTTGTTTTAGATGCCTCTGCCAGTGACTGGATTTGACCAAAAGAAGAGATTATTTATTCGTGAAACAATGCTGATTTACAGCTAAAGAAGAGAAAAATTGTATAAATCTGTTACTTCCTCCTCTTCGCAGAAGTGTTTAGTTTATTATTATTTATTTATCTAGTTTTACTTTCTTGTTCAAAAATTGTATATAATCCATCACCTGTTCCATTCTTGTCCAAGGGGATGGCACTCTAAAAATAATTTAGTTCTCCATGCCTTTCAACGTTTACATCTTGATGTATTCTGTTTCTCAATTAGGCACTCTCGACGCGTGAAAACCTCTTCCTAGAGTTTTAAGAGACAGTCATACTCAAAGAGCCTAGCTCTAATTAATCCTCGAGGACACCAGCAGCGTGCAGCCACCCTTCTTAATCTTTCTAAACAGCTTTTCTCCTCTTTTTACATATTGTTTCTGAAATCAAGAGGCATTTTTTAATAGTTAAATTTACTTCCCCGCTTCACACTGAAGCAGAGTGGTTATCCTAAAAATTAGAATTTTCTTTAAGTTTTCTAGCATGAATGAAAGAAAAAGGGACCTATTGAATCTTTTTTTTCTACTACATTTTTAGGCAGAAAATAAAAACTAGGTAATTTTTTTTTTTATTATTAATCTTTCTTTTTTTCAATTCCATAAATTTTTGGAGAATGCCCCAGTAGTGTTTCTGTTTTTTAGAACACAGAAATACACCATTGGGGTGAACCTCCTCGTATCTCTTCATGTTCCTTTTTTTTAACCTCACATGCACCCAAAAAAAAAAAAAGTGGTAGAAGTTAAACAAGTAAATTAGTTTATATCTGTTTTTGTAGGTATTATTTTTGTTGAACTATAATAAAAAAATGGAGAAAATTTTAACTTTTCTTACGATCAAGAAAATTTTTTCGCCACGTGCCATCTGACATCCCTAAAGCAAAAGAAGTCTGAATTAGATGGTCACCTTTAAAAGGAGAGCTTACTCAAAACTGAAGAGCGTGACTAATGAAGACATATCGTCACCACATGCTTCATTCTTATTTTCCTTTAGTTTAACTTTTTGATTATCACTTTGAGCTTTTTATATTTGTATGCATCATTAATTTTTTCTTTCCGTTTTTTCAGATCCTTTCCTTTCTCTTTAATTATCAGTTGGGTTTTTTTTTTTGTTTTTATTATATTTACTCATCAAATTTTTCTAACTATATAGGCAACTATTTATAGCTGTATTTTTTATCACTGTTAGATTGACGCTTTTGAACTTGTTTTTAAAGTAAAGATGGTAAAAAGTGTTTGAAGAAGCACAAGCATTCAGGTGAAGTAAAATGCCCTCTAAACCATGTAATTAATTCAATAATTATTTTTAAAATTTGATAAAACAGAGTTTTCTGCATGGTCCAATATTTTCATTTGAATGTTAAGAGGGGGTGTGAAAAGAGACAGTCATTTTTTTTTAGTAGCTGCTTTTCCACTTTTTTTTGGATGTTCTTTCTATTAACTGTACTGGAAATTCAGAACCAAACACCAAACATAACCTATACTAGAGATATTTGTCCATTGTCTGAACAATTATCATCATCTTTTATCTTTTAGTATCAAAAATACCATCAGTTCTTTGCATCATTGATAGATTCAAGTAGAATTAGAAGCTTGATAATTGCAAAGTAAATTTCTTGTATAATTTTTTGCGTAATCCTGTTGTGTCATAAGAAAAGAACAGCTTTCAGCCATACTTTACTTTTAATGAGATACTTCCTTGAAGATCAAAGCAATTCATGTTTTTATTTTATTTGACTCCTCAAGATCACTTTTTAGCCATGAAACAAGTTATCATAGAGCATTGTCTCAATTCAATGAATTTTAAAATGCCGGGCATTTATAGTTCAAAACCGCCCAATCTAGCAGCCTTCTCTGCTTTCTTTTTTTTACCATGTAGACTCTCAATTTTTACTCGATAACAGCTATCAAACAATTCCCAAGACTTTGGCATCCTATTGTGACCACTATCTAGATTTAGAATGCTTGTTAGTTGTTTGTCAGGGTATCAAATTTGAAAGAATTGGAAGCATGTTGATCTTATTAAATGTTCTTTTTTTTGCAATTACAAGCTAAATAATTTATTTGATAATTTGTTTTCTTTATTTGCTTACATTGTTTCAACCTGTAATCTTTGTTTATTTTAAACTTAATTTGCTACTGTAATCTTTGTTTTTGTAGCCTCTCTGTTGTATTCAACTCGCAAGATGAGGTTACCGCTTCTCAAATGAATCAATTGTTAAGTTTATGATCACGCAAAACTTATCATTAGAACATTAATACCACCAAAATAGATTTGTGTATTGTCTTCGTGTAGAGAGCATATGGCAGACACGATAAGAAGTCTCTCAGCATTTCCAAATATTGGCCTCGAAAATTTTGACAGGAATATAATCCAAAATTTTCTCCAAAGCTCCGAGTACCAGTGCTTTTCCTCATTTTTTTTCTTTCTCCAGTCCCTTTGTTCTTTGTATGCACCAAAATCTTGGTCTTGACATCAAAGAATTTGATGTCCTGAAGTTTGTGTTTCACTCAGCTTCTCTTTCCATTAAGTTTGGAAGAAAAAACTTCATGAATTGAAATCAAAGATATGCAGCTATTTATATCAGAAGTGTAATAATTGTAGATTCAATTTTAACTGTGAACAAAGTTCATGAGATATTGATTTAATTTACAGTGCTTTCGAGAAAAACTCAAAACAGGAAGGAGGACCATAAATCTGAATTTCAATGAAATAGCTGGTTGTTTCCAGGGAGCAAAATCTCATTTTGTGCAAAAATATTTCTGTCAAAATTTCAGATTATCAGTCGATTTCAACAAGAACTGAATTTTAACTCGACTATAAATCTTAGACGTCAGAGAAATGTAACTCAATTATTACTTATTCTCTTTATCAGAAGCTTCTCTTTTCGTTTTTTTGTTCAGAGGCATTAACCTCTAGAAGAATCTGGAAAATTTCAAGTATTAAATTCCTACTTTAAGTCAGTAACAAGCATGCAGAAGCATTCTGTTTATCCAATTGTCCTACTCATAAAATGTCGAAGAAAAAATACATTAGATGATATGTATTGATGTGTAAGGTGCTGTAGCCGTTTTGCTGGTGCATAATTTGATGATGTTTCTTCGTGCAGCATGATTAAGGTTTCCTTTATTTTAATTCTAAACTGAACAGCAAGCAAGTATTTTCAGATTTTATCCGTTTTGTTAATGCATTTGCTTTACATCCTATGAGAACAGGGAATTACTAGAGACTTTCTACTAGGTGGGACAAGCTTCTCCTTTTTTAACTTCTCTTATTCTGTTCCATTTTCTATTTTTTTCTTTTTTCAATTTTAAACTTAATTTTTGCTAAAATTCTTGCATTTATAGAGTCACACAAAATGTATAGGAACCATCGTTCTATTCATCTATGAAATGTAGCAAAGATCAGAAACTGTATCGTAAGTGGATCCATCTTAAACATGTCACTGAAAAACTCCTATCATTTATGCCTCTGTAACATTAAACATGAGATGAAGAATGAGCGGTTATGCATAAGAAAGCTATTCTAATTCTATCTGTTCTGTTCGGTATAGATTATGAACCAAATCGTATTATATCATAAAATCACAAGATACGCAGTTATAAAAACGAACCTATTTGTTGAAAGAGGTTGTTCCATCCCCCATTAGATTTGGCCCCCTATCAGATATGATCCATCTTTTCAGGAGTGATACAGTAGCATGCGAGACGTTCAAATATGGCGGTCATTTTGACTTAGGCCCCCCCAGAGAGGGGGGGGGGGGGGGTCAAAGTCAAAACCTTCAACTGCCTATAACTTTTGAGCGAAAAATCGGATTGAGTTGAACTTTTTTTNGGAACAACCTCTTTTAATACAAATGGTAGTTTAATTCATTCCTAGTTAAAGTTGTATAGGATTGAAACTGATTTTGACTGATAGTGTATTTAATTTTATATGAGGAATGCTTTAGACATTGTTTTCAGCAAGTAAGAAACAACCTCAGACCAATATCCCCCTCCCTCTGCCTGTTTTATTGATTTTTTTCATTTTTATTTAGTCTGTGTTTTCTCTCTATTTTACCAAGGCATATCTTTTTTTTTTTCTTCTCTTCCCTGAAATAGAAAAGTTTCTTGTTTAGATTTATATTTAAACAATTGAAGAAGTGGCAAATGAAAAATTCAGTTATTTTCTATTCCCCCAATAAAAATCTCATCATGATCAGCAAAGTATCTGAAGAGAGGTTTAATACGTTTTTACCTAGATATTCAAATTTCTCTCAGTTATTTTCACAAGCAAAGAATCTTTGCTTGATAGCATTTGAACACCACCCTCTGTCAGTACTTTTTAGATATTGACGGTAGAACTGCAAGAATGCGTATCTGAGTTTGCAACGCTACAAACTTCCTATCATACTTGATTTTTAAAATGGAATGAAACTCAATGTTTTTTCTTGAAAATGCCCAGAATTTCCTGTTTTGTTAGAAGAATATTAAGTGTTAATTTTGAGCAATAGTGTTTGTTAATACTCCTTTGATTAAATAAAATGGGAGAGGAGAATTTAAAACACCACCAACGAGAAATACGTTCTCGCAGTTTCACCATAGATATGCACAGGAAGCTCGAACCTTGGATAAAAAAGAGAAAAAAATTTGTTTGACATCACAGGCAATGTTTGGAACAGTGAACATACCTTGTATATTTAATTAAATCTGACATCTATAAATTTAGGTGTGAGAAAGAGGCACATCATCTTTTATCAAAATATCACTACACGTGAGAAAATTTAGTTGTGTAATGCAAGGGAAGAGCGTAAAAATACTACTCCTACTTACTGCATCAACTCTTTCTTGAGAAGTTACAGTTTCGGATGCAATTCTTTACAATTTATTGCAGAAGTCTTATTTTCAAAACTAAGGTTACTTTAAGTACATCGAAATGGTTTGACACCACAAAAGTGTATTTTTGTAGCTTATTTTTCTAATTGCATTTATCTGAGCGTGTTAGATACTTTCCCCTTACGTCCTAAAATTCTGTCCTCCTTTGTTTTCTGATCGATCTGCCGTGCTGAAGGAAGTAGCTGTTAGTCTGTCACTTTGATTTTTTAACAATTTTACTGATTTCAGATAAATTATTTTTGTGTAAATAAAAAGAATCTTTGATGTAACTCTGTAGAGTTGTTTACCTTATCTTCTCCAGGTGATACCCCTCCCCTGAGGTCAAAAACACTTAGGGACATGGGATACACATAACCAAACTGTTACACACATGAATCATGTGTTAAATTTTGATAGAATGCTAGGGAAAGTCGAAGGTGCATTTTTTGCCATTCCTTTCCCACCTAAGTGCTCCAACTTCTCATTTGTCTTTACTTAGGTGAAATAAGAAACTCCAAACACGGATTGAAACTAACAATAAGTAGTCATTTGAGTCATGGAGTAAAGTTCCATTGTATTTCTATGAAACGAAATTCTATTAACTTCTATTTGGAAGCATTAATGTGAAAAGATCCCATTTTCATTGGAATATCTATATAAATAAAATCGTTGGGGGTTTCACTGTAACGCTTATTTCTGGAGTTCTACCGGACCGATTTCGACGATGCTTGACTCTGGTTAAAGCCCTTGACGTCCCGATGTCCGCAAAATTTTCAGACTTCCAAATTTTTCAGCCTCTNATCTGTCTGATTTGATTTTAGGATTGGAGGTCGGCAGTCAGTTCAAGTCTAAATTCTGCCTAAGGACCGCCAGAGCTGTAAAAAATAAGACTCGGAACAAACAGAGATCCTCCTGAAGTACCTGTGGAAAGACTCATTATTCATGATGCTGGTCCGTTCAAGAATTACTTCACGTCAAAGAATTCATGAATGTATTCAATTTTCTTTACATTTAATTACCGTCACAGGTTAAATACAAATAATGAACATAATAGACAGAAAAAATATGTCTAAAATGGGATTTGCCAACAAGAAAACCTTGCCTGGCTACCTCGAGTGAGTCTTTGATGAACAAAAGTAACAGGCAAACTAAGAAGATAGAAAAAGTTGATAAGCTCTCAGGTTGAAGAAGTAATAAAAACAGGCAACTATCATTCACCTTGAAACTGAGCTTTGTAGCAGGTCATGTTCATAACGCAGAAGCGAAAACCCCTCTAAACGTACTCAAGGGAGTCATTTTGAGCACTAGTTTACCCAGTCGTGAATGCCATGTAGTTATTAAATGGACCACGTTAAGCAGAGAGGAACCGAGCCACATCAGCTAATGTCAAATCTAATTTTCTACGTGAAAACGGTTGTGCGGAGTTTTATGCAAATTTCATTGAGTTCTCAACATATTACAAAGCAAATGCCTTAAAATGTTCAAAGGAGGCCGCACAAACGAGCTCTTGTAAAAAATTAAATTGCCCAGTTAAATTTGTCAATATCTGATGTGGTTACGAGTAGATTCCTCTCTGCTTAGCACAGTCCAAATACTTAATTACTCGACCGTTGCTCAATTTAAGGGAGGGAATCTAATCTCCCCCCCCCCTCCCCGGGCCGGATCTAGGGGACGGCCACATGGGCCGCGGCAAATTTAGGGGGCGGCAAATGTAATTTTTTTAAAATATAGGTATAAAAAGAATTACAGACGAGAAAAGGTGACAAAATCTCTCATTTCCTGAGAGCATAGTAATTTCTAAGTTTGTCGTCTTTCGGTGATACAAGAGACAGCACCTTTAAATAGTCGAGTTAAGACAGAAACCGAACACGCAATTTGGTCTGGAACGGCGCGGCGCAGAGAGCAATGATGACGAGGACTTGAGATGAAAAGGAGAAACCCTCGGCGTGGCGGTCGGCATGTAACACATATCTGCGCCTACAAGACTGCATGAATACTTCACGCATTACGTCAAACACAGTGCCGTGAACAGCCTTCGGCGGGAAACGCATAGCGCCTACAAGACTGCATGAATACTTCACGCATTGCGTCAAACACAGTGCGGTCGGCGTGAGACGCAAAGCGCTTACAAGGCTAAAGGAATACCTCACGAATTACGCCAAACCCATTGCGGTCAGCGCACCGCGGCGCGGCGGCGGAAGTTAAAATTATTAAATCACATATATGTTTGTTCTTTCATAATTTTTTTGTTCATTTCTTCAAATGGAAGGCCTCGTCCACACAGAGCTAGGTATACGGAACTTAACTTTTGCGCAAAGTTTTGCGAACTTTTGTTAGTAGTGTTGACAGGGTTTTCGCAAATAATGTGTCCAACAAGAATGAACGCGTCTAATGCGCCCCTTGGTACGTCCCTTTGGCACGTTCACTGAATGATTTTTATTGATGTTTCAAAACGAATGATAAGGGGGCGGAAAAATTCAGGCGGCC